GTACGTTTCACGCGTATCATAAAACGCAAACGAGAGAAAATTTTTCATCTCTGTATATAAAGTACCTATTTAAATAATCAAAATTTAAATGAATCAGGAAGGAAAATGATAATAATAAAATTATCATAATGATGCAAACGCATATGATACATGACATCAGAAGTGGAAATATTTTGTCTGCAAGTATTTGAATTTTACATAATATTTTCGGAATAACAAACTTTTTTTTTCTTATATTACATAGAAACCTTTTCCCTGTATGAGACAATAAATCGCAAACAAAAATCGACAATTTCTTTCAAACATGAATTTCGTATTAGATTACGTTATTCCCTATGAGAAGCATGAAAATCTCTTCAATGTTCATATATTAAAAATTAATTTTCACACAAATATTGCGCAATGATATAAAGAAGCAAATTCTTATTTTTCATAGATTTTCTAAAAATAATAATGATTTTAATAATAATAATAATAATAATAATAATAATAATAATAATAATAATAATAATAATAATAATAATAATAATAACAACAACAACAACAATAACATCAACAATAATAAAAAAAATATATATATAAATATTAAGTAAGTAAATTGAAGCAATAAATTAATTTTAGCAATAAAATATTATAATTTAACATATTGTTGAATATATTCAAATTTCTTAATTTATAAAAATAATTTATAAAAACAATGCTCTGATTATGAAAATAACTGTGTATTTTCCAATACTTTCCAATACCTTTTCTAAATGACATTTAACTTAAAAATTCATCAAAATATATTTTACATTAAATATATTTATATTTACATTTTATATGCATTTAAAAAATGGTCAATTATGTTACAAATATTGACAATCTACCTAAAGATTTTCTTATTTAATTTTATTATACATAATTATAAAAACAAATTTGTATTAGATTCTTTTGAAGTAGATTTAGTCAAAATTTAATAATAGAACTCATGCATCACAAACAATATTATGATATATATTTCTTTTATCAATTAATAATTATAGGATAATTTTGAAATAAAGTTCGTAAAAGAATTATAATTTGTTATATTTGTTAAAGTTGTTAAAAAAAAACTATTAAACATAATTAAATGAATAAATAATATTTCTAAAATTAAAAATTATTTTCAAATATTTGTATTTATAGCACATTGGTAGCTGTACAGAATATAAAATATTGAGTATACAAATAGTTGATTACTTGACGCTTACGAAGGTTATAACAATATACTTTACAAAATAACTATTTCAATGTGATTGAAAAAGGATATTTTGTCACTATTTTTCGAATACTTTGAACAATTGATTTTTTGTAAGTTTTACTCTCTATATAATACCTTACGATATTTAAAAAGTTATGAACTCTAGATAATTCAATCGACTTCTTACATTTTCTATATATAATAAGTGATGTTTGCAAAACGAAAACTTTATTTAAATTTCAAATTTAACAATATATTTTTAGTAATGCACATGCTGCTTTTCGGAATAAAGTTGACGCTTTCTAAATTTACAAGTTTTAACTTCAAATCAAGAAATACTTGCTATTTCACGATATTGAAATCACGCTCGTATTTGTAAATATATGCACGCATACATATCTATATATTGGCTTTAAATGGATCATTTTCATGTTTACAGAACATTCATAAATAATTACTTTCTCTCCAAATTATTTTGTATAAATAAAATGTTTACTACCCGCTTATTTAAAATTATTTTATAGCGAAATTTACAACATTTATAAAGTTTAAATTAATAATTTATAGATTTAAACAATTGACTATTTAATTATAATATGTTTGAAATATATATATATATATATATAAATTATATAAATTTTCATTTAGATAAAACTTATTTATAAATTATTAATAATATGTAAATTTCTATTGTATATTAATATATTAGATCGTTTAATCTTTAATGATTTAATAAATATTATTATTAAAGGTATATATTTAATTGATCATTAAATATTTTAGTTTTTTATAGTTTTTTTTTAAACCATAAATAATATTATTAAAAAATTACAAGTAATTAGCATAATATTTTGAAGTGATTTTTTCTTCTGATTTTTTCTTATTTTAATATACAATTATTTCTAGGTGACTAGCATTTACATGAATAATCGATATACATTAAATAAGAGCAAATTTAAATATTGAATTCACATAACGTTTTAGGGCGATATATAAAGGTTATGTATGTTTAAAATTTATTCATCCATTATTTTTTGCTTAGAATGAAAAATTGTGTAAAGACGAAGAATTTTAAATATGTAAATTACTTTGAAAACACTCACTTAAATCTGTATGATAAATGAAAAGCCTTCTACAGTCCATTTTAGAATATATTTTATCTCATTAATTATCAAAAGTATTGTAATTAAATACCTTGTTGTATTATTCAAATGTCGTAGAAATAAAATTTTTATATTATAGTATTTAGAAATGCTAAAGCTACTTTTGATGATAAATTTAATACAATTTACAATAAATATAATATAGGACTTCCATTTTACAAAAATTAATGACTAAATTATCCAATCATTATTTAATTACAATATATTTAAAATAACCATAAGCATAATATAAAAACTAAATAAAAGTTGGTAAAGTAATAAAATTAATTATAATCGATGACTCTTTTGAGATTTTTTACTTATCTTTAAGTCGAATGGGTCTGTATTTTCAAAAAATAGCATTATTCTCGAATGGTTCAAGTCAAAGAATAATTTTACAAAAAATAAAAATCGCTTATTTCGACATATTAAAAAAATTTTATACATAGGAATATAAGCATCGAATGTTGTGTTTTATATATGAAAATTATTGCTAATTCTAAAAAAATGTACGAAATATATTTTCAAATATAATTAAATGCGTTGAAAATTCAAATTTAAATAATAAAAATCTATAAGAGACTACTTTTAGATATCAGAATTTTACAGTGATATAAAGAGATGGAAATAATATCTTGAATTTCAAAATAGTTAATTATTGAGGATCGATAATTGTAATTAAGATGCAATAAGTAAAAATATGAATAGCTTCAAAATTCTTTGAATAGGTATAATTTATCCAATACTTTTATACATAAAAATGAAATAGATAAATAAATAAATAAATAAAAAAAATATGTACTATTGTCCCAATAAAATTAACGATTTAAGCAGTGACTAGGAAGGAATATTAATCGCGGGCTCCGAATAAATAAATCGCCTTACGTACTTTTTTATTATTAATCTTTCGATTTATTTAGGGTAACGATAATTGCCGCTTTCTTATCTTCTCCGCCGTCGCATACGTAATACTCCGTCTTGAATTTCGTCCATTTTCTTTTTTGTTGCATGGATTTGCTCAGGGGATTACGAATTCCACGTCCCACGGGATTCTCCTTTCGTCTTCTGGCTTTACCGCATAAAAGCGCGATTCATTTTTATTTTGCCGTCCTCCTCTCGTTCCCACTCCCCTGTCGCTCTCTGCGTCTGACATTCAAATCGTCCATCGAGGATAATGCGAAATGGCCATCTTCCTCGAATATGCAACTGGAGGTGCAGCAATATTGGAGGTAATCGCCCTGAAAAAGCGCGGCTTAGCTGTGCGACGTGGGAGGGGGAAACGATCGCATTACCCGTCTGATGTTGTGTGCGTTACCACTTATCCAAGAATGGCAATGCAATTCTTTCCTGCTTTTCTCCCTTCCCCCTCCCAATCATTATCGCCCATTCTGCGATCGTCGCTTTGTGAGTGAAGATCTTAGCTGATGGGAGAGCAAAGTGGATCGTTTTATTGTGGTTGCGTCTATATTTGAATGTAGCCATAATACTTTTTGAATATGTCCGTGTATTAATCGTCTGTTTACCTCTCAGCTTACCATTTCTCTCCAAGGTATTTTCACTTGACAATAGCAAAAATATTATCGAGTGGCTTTAACGAAGATTAAAAGACTTAGTAATGCACAATACAGCTAATAATTATGAATAAATGGAAAATCTATTAATTGCAAAATTTCAATATGATTTATATAAATTATGATTCGTAGTGAATTGTTTATAATGAGATAATTAGATAATTGCGAGTTAATAAAGTATTTCAATGTAAGATATCGATGGCTTACTGCACTTCTTCAAAGTTCATAAAATACTTACTTTAATATATTCAACTAAACAGTATTATAAATTAAAATAAAAAGTATTATATTTACTGGATAGCTGAATTGTAAAGAATTTAAATTAGTATAAGGAACGAAGTTATCGACATTTTAAATTTAACTATAATGGCAAGCACGTAGCAACTCAATTTCGAATTAAATAAAATTTTATTGAAAACTCTCACATTAACATTGTTATTAATATTTTAACGCTTTGTGCATGAATTTGTCAGATTTATAACAGTGAGAAGATTATATATTACACATCCTAATACCTCATTATCATTGTTATGCATGATAATTATTATTTTATCATTCATTGACAATTCTTTAGCTGATATACTATTTTTAATAGGAAACATCCAATAAAATATTTAAAACAATATATCAATGCGAGATATAAATTATTTTCAATTAGTATGTAAAATATATTCAAGTGACTATTAAACAAAATTAACTCGTATCCAAGTAATGATAATTTAGATAAATAAAATTTTAAAAATATCTAAATCTACACAGATTTTCTAAATTAATTGAATATATATACATATACACACACACATATATATATATATATATTATTAAAATATTTACAAAGTGATCAAAGTTTAGCTGCAATTTACATTACATAGTTTATTATAAAAAAAAACATCATTACCTAGTTTATTATCTAAATAAAGGTAGAATATCAATTGACATTTTATTCTTCAACTATTTATTTTACCGCAATGCTGGCAAACAATTAATATCCGTAAACAACTAAAGGGCAACTTGAAATCTCGCTTTTTCGATGAATTTCAAAAGATTTAATGTTGCCATGACTGTTCGCTCACGCTGTAAATATTTTAATCACTTAATTTTTTAATTTTATGAATTGCAAAAATATTTCATTAAGAAACAAGGAATTCAGAATTGCATAGCCGTATAAATTACCGTTCGACAGACAAAATAAATAAAAAATAGAAATAAACGTGAACACGAAAACGAAAAGAAAAAAAAAACAATGAATCAATAGTTTCGAATGAAAAGCTTCAATTTGTTATCATATAATAATGCATCTAATTATTTATCTTTTAAATCATGTTAGCTAGTGTAGAATTTCTTTTCCCTTTTGTTCTTTAATTTCAATGAACACTATTGTCCTATTAGCCTAAATAAGATAAATATTCTTGGCGGCCAATTAAATGTATTTACGGAGAGTAATAATCGAAATAATGATTAATTACCCTTTTCATTTTATAATGTAAAGTCTGCAATGTGGTGCATCAAGTCTCATGAATTAGTCATCTTCGCATATAATAAATTAAGTCAAAGATCCCCATTCCAAGTAAATAAAATTATGGGTACGCCCATTGTTATGCTTAGAACAATAATAATTGTTCTGCATCGTATATTTGTAATACCCGTGAGAAAATGTCGTCTTAGCCCGAAAAGCCCGTAATCAATGTTTGCCTTTTTATTTACAAAGCATAGAAACGCGCACGCACGCCCATGTTATCTAGCAATTAAAAATGCTTCTCAGTCCCTCGAACGCTAATCATTGCACCGGGAAATGTAATTTCCACTTGACATGGCGAGCTGCTTTTTCCCTGTAAATAAATCAACGCCAGCGCTCAAAGACTTAGCTCGCGAAATTATTAGATAGCCCTCCCGGTCCCAGCTAATCCACCGATAAGTAAGCTGCGCGATATTAACGGGTGGTTGGGGGGCTGGAACTGGGAGGTGGGAGGGATGGGAGTAGGGCGAGTAGGGGTTAGTTGAGGAGGGGATTGAGGGGGGGGGCGTAGCCACCGTCGAAGGTAGGGAGCAATGCGTTAATCGATGTTCAGTCGCTATGACCCGAGCTGACCGCTGTGCGAAAAATGTGGGAAGTTCCCTTGGGACGGTTTTTTGCTTCCGATTCAGGCACCTGGACGACCTTCGGCAGCGCGAACGGCTCCAACAGCGAGGAGAACGCCGAGGCCGTCATATCCCTCGCTTACGAGAGTGGCATCAACGTCTTCGACCTTAGCGAGGCGCACAGCGGACCCAAGGCCGAGATCCAGCTCGGGCGTATACTGCAGAAGCGCAATTGGAGTCGCACCAGCTACGTCGTTACCACGAAAATCTACTGGAATCCAAAGTGAGTCTGATGGATGGGGCTGGAGCGCGGCTTTTTATATGTAGCCCATGACGAGGATGAGGCGAATTGTAAAACTGCAAATTCCGAGGTTCTATTCCTAGAGGGTTGATGTGCGAAAAATAAGCACCGCGGTGAGGATGATTTAAACACGAACTTCTCATTCTCTATGGGCTCTATAAAGTGTTGAGGTATGTTCAATGACATTCGATGATAGAGTATACAAACTTTTGTATACATAAATTTTTTAATTGCAATAGCTAGCTTATAGAAATAATGTTTTTCTTATGAAAATTGGGGCGATCGAAACATATTCTTTCTCTTTTACTTAGGCAAACGTATTGTACTTAGGCAAATGCACATTAGTTAATTGGATCTGGGATGATAATTGTGCTAGCCATAATTTTTGTTACTTAGGTTTCGTTGACTCTCGAGTTCAACAGTGTGAGAGAATATTACACACACATACGCAAAATGGTTAAAGCACATCATAGGATTTAACTACTTGAAAAAATTACAATAACCACATTGTATTCGAAATAGTGCAAAAGCAAAGAAAAATAATAACGTTCGATAAAAACGAAATATCCAAGGTAAAGAGTGTGACATTATCAATTTGAAATTCTATTTTAAACAGTAGATGGTAAGAAATAATACTCTAAGACTTCCAAATGAATGGATACAAGGATTTGTAGTTAGTATTTGGGTCATTGAAGCCCTAACCAATAATAATCAAACTTGCTTATATTGTTACTATTGTTTAAAACTTTCTTTAATACAATTGTCAGAAAACAATTTTCAAATGTAATTATATATATATATATATATATATATATATATATATGAGCATTTCAAGATAATTCTTTTTATTCCGATAATATATATTTAATTAATGATAAATATATATTCTCTTTTAGTTCTGATCTTCTTAGAGTTCTTCTGAAATTTTATATATTTATAGTTTTACATATTTATGATGATTTATTAATTGATGTTGATTTATTCGTATGTATAATTATTATGTGCAACCAAACTATTTAATACGAAAATTAGCAACATATAAGTAGAAAGAGTATTAGCGATATTGAAAGGAAAAATTTTCACTTGCAACGCAAATGAAGTATATAGAATTAAATAGTCGTTACATAGTCGTTTTCTCTTGAAAAAAACGTATATTTGTTAATTTATTTTTAAAGTATCAAACTTGAACAAAAATACTAAATTTCTTATAAAAAATATATTAACGCATCGAGACTAATTCAATATATTATTTTCAAAAATTAATTGACAATTATAGTAAATTCGCTAGAATATGCATAATTAATTATAATAATAATTCATAAATTCAATTGAAATTCATGGAAATCGAACGTGAACTTTCAGTGTAAATGTATAGTTGTCAATTTAATAATAAAAGTTTAACTTAAGCTAGGAGCATTCCAATTAACTATAGCGATTTTAGCAACAGTTATATGTTTTAATTTTCCAATTATCTAGTAAATCTAGTACCGTTATTATCGATATAAATAAAATAAAGGATATTAGAAAATAAGGTAATAATATTTAGAAAATAATAATTATAATATTTTTTATGAAATTAAATGAAATGAATAAAGTTAATGAATAAACTAAGCTCAAACTGTTACAAATACAATATTTATAATATTTATAAGAATATCGATGTTCCTCTATCTACACTGAACTTAGTACAGTAGTGATTAAAGTTGGAAATTAGAATGTGATAATGAAATGGAAAAATTCGAGCAGTCATAAGCTATAGACAATCTATATCGAATTCCATGTTATAAGGGTAATTTAATTATAATGATTAAGATGGGCGAGGGATGTAAGTGAAATAGAAAAGAGCAATATATAAGGTTTCAGCAAGCAAGCGGAATAGCATAATAAAAGATCTTCAGGCATCTGTAACGAAAGTAGTGGAGAGAAAATGTTTAATTAAATTTAAAGAAGATAGGGTACGTGCAAGTATTTTAGCTGGAACAAAGAATTAGCTGAAATGATCATTACCGCCTAATAAGGTGCGGCACTGTTAGTTTGTAAAATAAATTAAAGGAATGCCAACGCTTGGGTCAATTTTGGCACACGTGTTTCAATTATTTTATATTCAACACACTTCATTGAGGTTCCAATGTGAATACTGGACAGCAGGTGTATTAAACCGAATATAAAATCCTCTAGAAAAAAAAAAAAAAAAAAAACAAGAAGAAAAAAGATGAAGATTCTTTATAGATTCACTTTATAATTTATTTGCGATCTAATACATTTAATTGAAATTAATTTCATATTTTCGAAGATAATTTTCTATACGTTTTTAAATAAATATCGATTTTTCTTAATTTCACACTACAGCATTATTTCATAAAATCAAGTGTTTCATTGATACGAGAATAATGAATATGTCATTAATCATTATCTCGTACTCGGTGACACATGATGGAGCGCGCGGTGATTAATTGTTGCAGCTGCTCCATTAATCAATGACTAAATTAGGAATTTATTTGCACGTTTATTTTCAAATGTTATAAGGGCGAAAATGACGTATTTATTATTTAATTATTAATTTAAGATCCGAGGCAAGAGGACTTTCGAGGAAGCACATTATTGAAACGGTACAGGCATCGTTGGCTCGGCTTCAATTATCCTACATAGACATTGTTATGATTCACAAAGTCGATTCAACTTGCCCCATGGAAGGTATGTATATTTCATAATATTCGACAAATTTATTAATGAATAATTACTTGTGTGTAATCCCGTCAATCAAGATTAAATTGTTTTTAAACACGCAATGATAATTTACATGAAAATTCAAGAACTTTTGTATTTAAAGTCATTATGAAAATTCAAATGACCATATAACATATATGACTGCGAAAATGAAAAATAAATAATATTCTTTCTAATATAAATAAGAATTATTAATGCGATTAAATTTAAGGGGATAAAAATATCAGAAAATTTGTTTTCATAGAAATCGTTCGCGCTATGAATTATGTGATAAGTAAAGGATGGGCTATGTATTGGGGGACTTCAAGATGGTCGCCCGTCGAAATTATGGAAGCTTACTCCAACTGCCGGCAATTCAATTGCGTAACGCCAATCGTCGAGCAAGCGGAATATCACCTTTTCTACAGAGATAAACCCGAGCTTTACATGCCCGAGTTGTACAATAAAATTGGTAAAATACATTGACGAAATTGGTAAATTGCATTATCAGATGTGTTTATTTTTTATTACGTTTTATTTATTTTTACGTTTTATTTTCTTCACTCGACATAAAAGCACTCGATACGAGCGAGAAATTTATTATTAATTTTTTGCTTCAACTTATACAATCAAGTTACATTATTTAGCATTAGAAAGATTTTTCATTTATTGATCCTTGAGTTGTACAATGCGAAATAGTATAATCGAGAGAGGCAGAGGAAATCAAGCTATTGAATTATTTCCGTCTCTCTGCTTCTCCTCGTGATCTACTTAAAATCGATTTTTACATGATAGGTAAGATAAGTCACGTTTAAGAAATTTTAAATTTACATCACGGCTAACATTATCGTTTTAATTGATTACTTTTGTTTACACTGATAAAGTTCATTCATTTTAAGCAATTTATCGTTCGAAATATTTGTATATATAAAGAAATGTTTCAAATGCGCTAGAGAGCATGTGAAATATTGTATTTTCAATCCTTTCAAATCATAAAAAATATTTCAATTTTTTATGCCTGCGTGATATTTTTGTGAAAGAATTTTTAAATATTGGCAATTATTATTAAATGTTTACACGTTTCGTTCAATAGGCAAATAAAATTCTACATGTTTTTTTTTCTTCAAAATTTACTATTCAAAATTATTAACAAAACAATTATTAACATATTAACAAACATTAACAATCATTAGATTTAAACAATAAATAGAATATTTTAAAAGAACATTCATTAAAAAATTTTTTAGTTCAAATTATTTTACGAACTAAAGAAGTTATTGTTAATTTAATTAGCATAGTATTCTGAACTTTAATTTGTGCTTGTAGCTGCTCAAGTTATGAGCTCTTTTTTATTTATTAATTAATTAGTTAAATTTATGTAAATGCTGTACAAGCATTATTAAAAATTTTTTAAAAGGATATTCAATATTTAAAAATACAAAAAGTTCAAATAATAATGTTTTCAATATGATATATTAACCTTTATTAAAAAATATTCTTTCATGTTTTGTATATATAGATACATGCATGCGAGAAATAATTTATATTAATTCTATTTTATTTTTAGTACTTTAAATAATAGATTTACGCTCGTTTCTGTAAGTATAGTCATTACACACACGCCCGCGCATACGCATACGCATATATATATATATATACAAATATCGAAGTAGATAAGTAAATAGTATAATCTAATTATTGATATTATTCAACTTATAATAAGTTCTAAATTAAAATTCAGAATTATACACAATTTTATACTATCTAATATTTTGATTGAAATGGATAATAATAATATTTCTGAGTTTTCAATATATTTTGTATTGCAGATTTATTTTTGATTAGTATATGAGAATTCTAATTACTTACAAAACTTTTTAGTTTGTTTAGCTAATTACTTTTCCAACATCAATAAAGCATTCAAGTTTCACGCATAAGATTACGTATATTGCTCGATTTCGTTAAAGTTATGCTCATAATTGTTCAATAAAACAAAACAAAAAAAATTATACAATTTTGATTTGCAATTATAAATGAAAAAACAAGTAAATAAATAATACGGTATTTATAAATAAATTCTTTCTGCACTTAATTATATTCTTTGCATTAGTTTCATTTATTATAAATAAATGAATAAAATTTCTTTTAAATGAAATATTAGTATATTAAAGCGGCATAACTCAGTCGATTTTCCGTGCTTTATAGTTTGTTTGCCAAATTTATAAATTTTTATGATTCGTTATTGGCTTATGTCTACAAAATTAATTTGCAAAATAATTCGCATTCATATTTTGCTACTATTTTTCTATTGACATAATAGTGTAATGTTGTTTAAGTATAGAATATGAAATGTAAGATAATAATAACATAAAATTAATGATTGTTTATTAACATTATATTGTTTTATAGAATATTTTGTAATTAGTCCATATCTATTGGATATTTTTAATTACTCTTTGTTAAAAATGTACAGAAATTATAATTTATACTTAAATAATTGATTATATATATACATATATATATATATATATATATATATATATATATATATATATATATATCCATGTAGTCCTTATTCCTTTAATTATGAAGCGCATAATGTTCGATAGAATAATTTGTCAATAACTCAATGAAACTATTTCATTTTATTCAAGAAAATAGTTCAACATTAAAATTCCCAATATCTTTATAGACGCGTTCGATATTATTTTTGCAAAATAATTTTGACGCGTCTATGAGATTGGTCGAAGATATTAATAATATAATAGTATGAAATTTGCGATCATAAGATAAATAATTATATTGATCCAATAAGAATCATAACATTCGGTACATTATCTTATTAAAGTAAAACTGCTCTCTCATTCACAATGCAGCAGACAATTATTGACTTAGCAAATGACAAAGTGCTCATTTTTAGTACTCCATAAAATGAATTTTTTATTTTAAAATTTACCAAACAGCCTTTGTCACAGTATGCAATCAATGTTTTTACAGGTGTCGGCTTGATGTGTTGGTCGACAATGTCGATCGGCATGATATCGACTCGGGGCGAAGATATCGGTATGTCGGTTCTTTCTAGATCGAGATCTTCGTACAGGGTAAGTCGCATATTTGCAATATATAATAGAATTCATCGGCATTAAAAAGTGCGTGCCGCAGTAGTAGAAGATTCCCGAGAATCTCATGTAAGCGAAAAACTTATTGCATCAGTAAACTAGAGCGCAGACCTTTAATGTAGCGGCGATTAAGATATCGCGCAAGTAGATGAAAATTAGTCGTCATCTTCTTCGTCATCTTTTTCTTCTGCTTCTTTGTCACGCAAAAAAAATTTATTAATTTTCCTTGAATGACGAGTCTCGGTCTTTATATAGAGAGTTTTATCAAATCTCGATATTCCGCTACTTCATTTGTGCGATACTTGCAAATGAACGATAATAATATGCGATTGAGAAAATTGAGGAATTTAAGAAAACAGCAACAGGAATTTCGCAAGCTTGTCAATCGTCGACATTCCAATGTCGCCACAGACCCTTAAAATTAACTTAGCCTCCCTTAAAATGCCCTTATATAATGCACAGATAACGAAAGACAGTGTTAGGTGGATTAATAGTCGATGTAGAAGGAGTCGCGTAAGAAAGTCGCTTTATTCGCGTGTGAAATAATCGTCCCTTTGATCGTGCTTTACGAGAGTTGACAATGAATGTGAAAAAATGGCGCGCGAGTATTGTAGCTCGAGGGAGAGCCTAGTGGCAGACATCAATCAAAAGCGGGCATTGTAGCGACGATCGAATGAAAATGTTCCGTCGACAGGAGCAATGGCGCAAGGGCTCGATGGACTCCGAGACGAAAAGGTACTCGGATAAGATACGTGACATTTGCGCATTCGCCGAGAGACTCGGCTGCACGTTCACCCAACTGTCGATCGCATGGTCCCTCAAGAATGAAAGTGTCCAGTGCCTTCTCCTCGGTGCGACCAACATCGAACAGCTTTACGAGAGCCTCCAGAGCTTGCAGGTGAGCACCCAAGTCTTCTTCTTCTACCCCTGGATTTCTCACATTTTACGGACATAACATGCATATTTAATACGTGAATATTTTATCATAAGCTACAAGTACATTCGATTCATTGTTCAACTCGTGTTTATATCATCCGACATTGCCAAATGCTTCGTAACATGTTATATGGTTTTATAGGCAAATCAGCATTCCCCCCCCCCCCCCCTCCTCCTCCTCTCGCCACATTCGCTTTATTTTCCTTCTCTTCAAATTCAATCCTCTTACTCGCACAGCAATATCTTATTATTTATTACATTTAAAAATTTCACTTTTACCTTCAATAATGATACTTAAAATACATTGTCATATTTATGACTTTTGTTGGTATATTTCGCTTCAATAACTTATATAAAGAAGATTTTGCCACAGAGTTGTAAGGCGTGCAAATCAAATCGAGCTTGAAACGAGCTTGTAATAAATATTAATCGAAGAACGAATCGAAATTATTTTTACATTTTACGCACTATCTAATCAACAATATAAATGTTTAAATCAATATTTTCCTTTACAAAATAAATTTCATTGAAGATTTGTTAACGTACAACAGAAGATATTCATCGGTTCACGTTACACGCGTGTTTCAATGTACTTTAATAATGATTTTTAGAATAATTTTAAACAATATCATTGACGATTTGAAAATCTCACAGAAATCATATCTATTATATTTCAAATTAATACAAAGAAAAAAACGCAAACAAAAATCAATTAATAAATTAATTATTCAATTTTTAATGAAAAAGAGTCATGTGGGTATATAATATTTTGTATAATAAAGAATCATTGTGAATATTAATATACAATATTTTATTAAAAAATCTGAATTCCTTAAATTGAAAAGTCAATTTACATTGACTAACTATTTATTTAAAATACTAACATATTTAAAATTTTTTTTTATTTTCTATCATTTTTCGAGGTAAAAAAAGTAACTAAATATTTTTTTTTATTTTTTTTTTTTGTTTTTAAATATTTTTAACTCGATGTAATCGCTTCATTCGTAAAAGTACGAAAATATATTTTATAAAAGTATAGGAAAGTTTTTTTCTTTTATTATTAATGTAATATTTAATATGGAATACGTTTTCCAACATTGATATGGCTGTCAAATAAATAATTTGTTTACTTTGAATGTACGTAAGAATTTATACAATCATACATTATTATTGATATATCTATTTTATAAAAAAAAAAAAAAAAAAAAAAAAAAAAAAAAAAAAAAAAAAAAAAAAAAATAAAGTTCGATACTCAATTAAGCATACTACACAAGTATTATAATTTATTAAGTTTCTTAATGAAACTTTTATTTAATATAATAGAAATTAATTTATGTAAAGGTTAGTGACCATGTAGAATATGTAAACAGTTAACAGTAATAAAAATGAGAAATAATATTTTCATAATAAATAATTTATATTTTTTCAAACTACACTCATCGGAATGTTACAGAAATAGTTTTGTTCTACATTGCATATACTTGTTTATACTATTTACTCTAAAATTTTCGCTACAATTCCTTTGGGTTAATTTTAGGCAAACTTCTTCAGTCCGGACTGCTTTTGTTCTTGAACAATCGAGAATTCAACACGACCACGAAGTTCGCTTGCCCCCTTCACACTTAAATTTTCAACCTTCGTGGAAAAACTTTAGTGTTTTTCACCGTAATAGTACATTACAACTTTTGCTAGTAAAATTACATTATTGTTTTTGTGTAGAAAATTTTTCTTCCCCTCGTAGAACTCAGTTCTGATGTATGGAATACAATATTTTTAGAATTATAGATACACAGCCGCTCTCGTGCATTATAATATTCCTATCGAATTCATAAATTCCAATATTTTACCTATTTATTTATTATGCCGCGTATGAATGCTATTATTATTAATATAATCAGCTTAATTTAATAGGAATTTATTATAGGATATTTTTAAGTAAAACAAATTACAATGAAGTATCTTCGAAATATAATAAAATGACAATTTAATGATTTACAATAAAAATTTAAAGGATATTCTGTTCCTACAGGTCTATGTCATTAATAATATTCATCATGTAACTCGATAAATATTTCATTAATGTTTATGACAGTATAATTTCTATGACTTATAAAGCATTTCATTCAAATTTATTCTATTCATATCATTTTTCATGACTGAAATTCAGTTTCTTAAAATTTATGATATCTATGTCATAATTACTATCATTCTTTTTAGATTTAACGAGATTAATTTATGAAAGTTAATTATAATATTAAATAAATTTAAGTTCTTTTGTATAACTTTCAATCTGTATAACTACTAATTTCTTAGCGTTCAATGTATTTTTAAGTAAGCAATATTTCTTTGATATTACTTTTAGTTTGCTGTACTCCTACTAATTTGATTATTTTTTTTTAATAATTTTCTAATATTTTACAACCTATTATTACTTACTGTACCACTTTATTACTATTTTCTTGCTATTATTACTTTATTACTATTATTTTGCTTTCTGAAGTGAGAATCCAATAATCTTATAATAAATTATTATAAATTATAGTGGTTTCATTGTTTTGGTAACTGTATTTTAATAATTCTTATAAAATTGCTTAATTGGTAAATTCTCTATAATCGTTAACTTGGATATTTTATTAGAATCACTTCACGTGTTGTCGAAAATTCAAAGTATTACGTAAGCTTAAATCGCAATACCAAATTATGGATTTATAATTCAGTTTAAAGAGAACAGAGATTGATTGATTGTTATGGTAACTGTGCAACTAATTCAATTATTATATAATTGTAGGCATATATTCTGCTTTGGTTAATCATTATAAAATAATATTCATTTAAAATATTACTTTCTACGCAAGGGATTTATTATAGCATTTTATTAATTGATCATGAAGAAAAAATGTTATTAGCAAAAGATTTTAAACATTTTTACAAATAATTTTTGGAAAAAATTCAATAAATATTTTCCACGTATCTATGCAAATTAAGTGTACACACGTAAAATTATATTCAGAATTACATTACCATTTCAATGCTTCTGAAAACATTATATTTTTTCTTTGTGATTTGCCTATTTGAATATTAATTGTTATTAGAGATACGTTTATCAGATATACGTTAAAGATAATAAAAAACACATATATATTTTTATCGGTTTTACTTGTATTTTCATATTGTTATTTCAAATGTTGATAATACATTAATAGTAATTGACAAGTATTTATGAATTATTAAATGCTACTTTTTATATAGGGAAACTCAATTTTATAATTGTTATTTATAAAATTCTTTTAATAAAATTTCTCTATTAAGATTGAAATTGACCTATTTGTAATAAAAAAAAAATTACCGTAATTAATTAACATTTCATTTTTGTTTAAATGTAACATGAAATTTTTATTTATTTTAAACATCCAATCCTGTAAATTATTACTAATCCGACAAAAATTACACACATACGATAGAGATTCTTTTTATATTTTATAATTAACTATTCTTATGTAAAATGTATTCTACAAGTTTATCATTTATATATTTAGAGTATTAATACACTATGCACGTACGTATGGCATCATCAGTCTATCGAAATATTAATGTTATTTGTTATTATATTATTTATTTATACATTTTCTATATTATAATATGTTATTAGTAATAAGGTACGTTCTATTACATTTAAATGAAAAAGATCGTCTGTTGTCCTTTCTTGCCATACAATATATTTATAAAGTATAAAAACTTCAAAGTATGGAAGATTTTCTAAAGCTTTTTATTTTAAAATGTTTTTTAATTGAAATAATATAATTGGATCGATATACTTTTAACATTCATTGTTTTAAATAGATAAATAATTTTCTTCGAACTTAGTTTGTACTGTATTCTGTATTGTATTGTCGACTCTATCGTTTTCTGATAATATTTCCTAGAAATAAGCATTATTTAGAATTTATTGTAATTCACAATTTTAAATAATAAAATATAAAATTATAATAATGTAAAAGGTTAACAAAAAATAAATTAATTTTTTCAAGTACGTGTAGGAAATTGCTTTAGTGAGTGATTATTATTTTTTCAGACAAAAGATTCTGGAATTTCAATTTTATGTTCTACCATTTCTTACTTACTTTCTCTACTGTATTAATTCATCGGATTAATAATGTCTGCTCAAAATCAGTTAGCAAACATAAATTTCGATCTTAAATAATCGTATTGAATAGTAATGTTGAGAGAAAGAGGAAAATTCTAGTGCATAATAAATAATGTCATTTAAAAAACAGAAACTTAAATTTAAGTTTTATGTATTTCTTTTTAAATTACTCTATATGTGTACTGTATTAATTATAAATAATGTTCAATTAATTGTAATATTCATAAAATTGATTGACATTGTCGTTTAATTTTATCTGAGTAATAAAGCTACTTTGATTTGTTTAAGCTATAATATATTCATGATAATACAATATGCATGTTGTGTCGTATATTTACTTTTCAGTTCCATAGAAGCCAATGTTGACTGGTGTTGTGTGAATTGGTTTGGAAACTAAAATCTCGCACAAGTTGAACTTGTTGAGGAACTCCAAGATACAGATACATTTGTCTATTTATGCAAACTGTTTTCCTTAAGAGGGGACCTTTGGAAATCATTTATTTAGAAAAATACGTTTACACATGAGCATTTTCAAATTCTTTGATTGAGAAAAATTTTCCCTTAATTTTCAATTTATTTAAACAATCTTATTAAAGACGTTGTAAAAGACATTAAAGACATTTAATCGAAGAATAACTTTAAAATGGTGTATAAATTTTATATTATAAAAATTGATAAACCGTTGTAATTATAATTTTACAAAATGGGTAACAAGATGAGCTTAAGAAATGTTATTCGTGCAAGTTTGCAAGCCATAAATTACGAATCAAGTATGAACATTTATTAAATACGATTGCATCTGAACATGAACATTCAGATGTGTTTGATATTAATCATACAATGTCAAATATGCTCATAGTTATGTCATTAGAATAGAGTTTTCGTAAAAGCTAAAACTAATGTTACAAATATTGAGAAAAGATTATCCGATACTACGTCGATAAGAATTTTGAATTATTATTTATTATTTATTATTTATTATTAAATGTATTTGAATATATAGCTGCGACTGTTAAGCGAATTAACCGTTAAGCTAAAGCAAGATGATAAATACGAATAAACAAATGTCTCTAGTATTTTAAAACGAATAGTTGAATAGTAAAAAATTCACACTCAACGTATTAATAAATTAAATAGCAGAGTTTATAGTATTTATTTACGAGCACATGTAAGTGAATAATACTTGCAATATCAAATAGTATATTAAAAATATGTAAAAGAAGTTAATTTCGATAAAATTGACATTGCGGTAATCGATTAGTTCCTCATTCCCCACTGCTTAATGAAATTCGAAAATGGAACATTGCCAATGTGCTCTCCTAGTGAGTTATCGAATCCAGATAATAGCGCGAGCTGCTTTCTCTCTCTCTCTCTCTCTCTATCTATCTATCCATCTATCCATCTATCTATCTATCTATCTATCTATCTCTATCTCTGTATCTCTCTTTCTGCCTTAGCTCATTCCACGGCTGACCATGTCGACAATGACCGAGATTGAGAGGATCCTCTTAAATAAACCATCCCGTCCGCCGATGGTCTCGACTCTTCAACTAAGATGACAGTCGCTTTGCCCCCACGCGAGTCGTGGGGGTTCGCTGGTCGGCAGCCCGAAGAACGAAATTGCGGGTTACAACGGCCAGCATCCGGATCACCAGCACGAGCAGAGCAACAAGGACCAGTCCCAGAAGGTCTCCTTCTGCGAGATACAATGATGAGCGGCCACACATACACAAAAACACGTAACACGTTGCGTCCCGTGCATCCTGCCATTGGTGCGCTCCATCGGCGAATTCCGCACAATGCATCTTTCCGACCTGACCCACGTCTTTTATTACCGTATGATGCCCCACGACTGCTCTTTCGTCCCGGGTGCGGTCGATGGATTTTCCGTAGCTCTTTCGTAGGCGACTCGTGCTTTTACGCGAGGGGACATGTTGCCTTGTCTCGATGCTCCAATCGCGCCGATAACAGTTCGCCTGGGCTTCCGGATTTCACTGGAATTTTGCAAAGGCTTTTTCAATTGATCCGATAAAAATTATGCGAGAAGTAGCGGACGAGTGCGATGAGTATGAAACCTTTAACACAGGGTACTGTTATTTTTGTCGTCCAGCAATTAATCGGAAATTTATCAATTTTTCAATATTTGTCGAAAGTTTCGAATATGCATGAGACCATTTAAAAACAGGATAATTATGGATAACAAATATTTAAAGAAAACGTTGTTTTTGGATGGATTTTAATTGCATTAGTTGTTATTACTTTTAACCAGTTAGTGTACAAATAAATAATTAGCACTCTTTCTTCATACAACTTATACTCAATACTAATACTGCTTAATATCGATCTAATAGTTTTTTTTTGTTTTTTTTTTTGTTTTTGTTTTTGTAAACATTTCAATTATTGTAACAAAAGTTATTACATAAATAATAAATAAAATAAAAATAACGGTTTGTTTAATTAAAAAATTAAATGATATCACAGAACTTAATATTTTTAATAGGGCGTTAAAATGTTAATTATTATATTGGAATTTTTATTAAATAAATTCACGCTGTCATAGTATCATTATTTGTTTGAAGCTGTTTTTTTTTTATATATAATAACAAATTTGTATTTCATTGAATTACGTCAATAACTTTAGCTTTAATAAATTTATTATGGTAACTTTGTGCACAAAGCCAATCACATATTTTCCGTAAAAATAAAATTTAGAATTCAATTGTGAGATAATTTTCATATACTCTTCAATGAAAGTAATTTAATATTTAACTTTTATATTACATAGAATGATATAATATTAGTGAAGAAAATATACACTATACTTATTATTAATTGATTAACAAACATTAACAAAGCTTATTATTTAGACGAATTTTACGACAATTTTGTAAATAAAATTGTTTGACAATTTTCTGGGCTAATTGATTTTAGCTTTAGCAATTTTTAACGATTAGGTAAATAAAATTAATTACTATTATAAAGGAAACAATATTTATATTAATAGAATCTTGGAAGGCATAATCAAATTATATACTCTTACATTAAATTATAATTATCAATGCAGGAAATTACTTAAAAAAGATAAATGCATATTGCATAGATTTATTAGTGGCAATAGTAATTGAAAAAACATTTATATAAATTATTTTTATTAATTCAATAAGTGAATAAAAGAAACATTAATCGAATCCTTTTAGAAGAACTGACAATGAAATTAATAAATTTCGTTAACAGCATTAATTAATTGTATCTACAATTTTTTTTTGTTAACATAAATGTGAACAGAAATTCAATTTTATTATTTACGTATTTGCGAAAATAAAATAATCTAATAAAATAATAGAAGAAAAACACGATTGCATCAAGTTCATTTTTTCTCAGAGAAAAACATTTCTGGTGGTTTAATCAATAAAAAAGTATAAAGCAATATAATTACTACCTAAGATATTCTGACAAATCAGTCAAGGACTTTTCCAATATGTATAGGAGAAATCAGGTTAGAATATATGCTTATTCACATAAAAAAATATTATTAAATTTATGAATCTTTTGATGCCAATATTAGAATTATAAATTAAATATTATATTATAAAATATTTAATTATTTCGTATTAACAAAAGTAATGATTAAAAAAAAAAAAAATAACCGAGAAAATCCATCGACTGCTTTCGTCGTAAAAATTAAACTCCAAAGGTCAAAGTAAGCAAAAATATATCGCCATCGCAATTAACGGAAAAGAAAACTTTGTTCAAAGCATCACTAAAACTTGGCTGGATCATCGTTTAAAGGAGATAATTGTAAAAGAAATTTTATCCATACGATAAAAATGCAGAAATACAGAAAGATGGCCTCCACTTATTTTAACTGAAAATCTGTATCTACTAAACGTATACATAATGAATAAGGGACACAATTTTCAGAAAGAGAGATGCGAATAGCTTGAATTTTAAGCCACAATATAAATATATATATATATATATATATATATATATATATTGAATCTTTTAAAATTCAAAAAGAATATTGATGAAATGAATAAATTTACATATGAATACATCGTACCTTAGAAAAATGTTATTCACAGAAACAGACACTTTAATAAAACTTCAACAATATGAAAGATTTAATTCATTAATTCATATTGACCAGTGAAATGTCAAAATACATGTGGAAAATCTCACTAATAATATTATAATTAAGAAAAGACGATAATAATAAAATTTTCAATAACGCCAAATTTATGAAAATTGTAGGGATTAGCTTTTAATGCTGCCTAGGTGAAAGTAAAAATTGAGAAAAAAATATGGATTAGGTAAGATAAAACAAAGACGTCTTAAACAAAGATATCGGTAGAAACAAAATTTTTCAATACGATTCTTCAAAATTACTTCAATTGAAATTATTATTTTCAATATTTTAACTATTGTCGATAATTACTATTTGTTTTTATAAATTTATGTTTTTTACAATTTTAGGACTTTTAACCGCGAACTGCATGGAAGGGAGAACGTTTTAAAAATTTTTCTTTAATAAATTAAAATCTTAAATTTGACGTTGCTATTTTTAAAATCATTATTTTTCGTTCTTTGACATTCACTCAATTACGTCATCATCAAATAATAAAATTTATATAAAAAATTAACCAAATTTTAAAATATGTTTAGATTTCAATTGGATAATAATTTTTTTTTCTTTTTCAATTTAGTTAAATGTCATCTTAATGCAGTAGAATTACAATATCTAATCTAATAGTTAACATTGATCCAAAATACAATTTCAATTCCAATTAAATTCTTAAATATCTGTAGACTGTAAACAAGTTACGTATTATATTTAAGAATAAAATTCACATTTAGCTTTGGCACGATAACTTTTATGGTGAAATAATTAGTATTTCGAGGATTTATTTTCAGTAAAACTTTGTATAAATATAATGTAATAATAAATTCTTTATCAAGGGCAAAAAATCCAATATGTAGATTAATGCAATAATATCGTCGAGCAAATAATCATTTAATCTGCTGATGAATTAGAATAAGAGACAAAGGTGAAAAACATTTCCTTCCCACGAGGAAATTAATAAATAATGCTAACATTACATAGATATTCTTTTTAATATACGGAAAATTACTACTGTCTTTCACATATATTTTTCTTCCATAATTAAATTAATCTAACTAGATTACATTCATATCAAATACTAAGGTAGTTTTTAAAAACGGCGGTAAATAGCTTTTAAGGAAATAAATAGGGGAAAAATCGTTTTCATATTTTTTTTTTCTTTCGAAATTTAAGATTCTAAGGATTGTGTTATATTTGTAATGAAAAGTAGAAAAACATTTAATAGATAATAGAAAATCATTCGGTTCTTTATTGAAAGGAACAAACATATTGATGAGAAATTTTATGCTACATTAATCTCCGTATCAATTATTCTTAAGAATGCAATGTTTTAAAAAAATGACTAAATTAATTTTTTTTTTTTTTGAGAATGATTTGGAAAACAAATGTTTGCATTATTACGAATCTTGTCGATATTATTATAATATTCTAGCCTTTGAGAATATTATGAAAATAGTTTAAAGTAAAATTGTAAAATTTTCTTTTTACATTTAACATTTAAAATATTATTTCTAAATAATGGTCTTTATATCTAGTATATAGCATTCTCAAATCAATGACAGATTTCATCATAAAACAGATTATAACGTAGTATAACTATATGTCAAAGGCATATTATTTTCAAAACAAGAGAATGATTATCAATTCAATTATCACTTGAACATTTCAATTATTGTACATTATTAAAAACTATTTCCTCCTTATCTCGACAATTAGCGGGACGATAAGTTGAATAAATTAATATAAAGTATAGTAAAGTAATATGATTCAGTTGATAGTCGCAATGAAAATGTATGTAAGTGCGCGGCAAGTCGATCATAATCTTTTTAAAGAAAAATAAAACAGATGCGTGACAAAAAAAATTGTTAACAGTAAGAGGACTTTTTTCTCTAATAATTAACTTTTATATAGCATAATTAAATAAGTGAAAAATCGCGACTGATACGTAAATATATAGTGCTTGCGATATCCGATCCTATTACAATAATACAGATGTAAGTTCAATTAAAATTTAAGCGCGATTTAAGAAAGCAGGAACGACGAAACGAGAAAATTACTGCGCTGAAATAAGATCGCCTGTAATGTTAAAAGTAATGTTAATCGCCAGTGCATTATTTTTATTTTGATAAATAAAGAACTTTGAAGATACCTATATTGGTCGAAGAGATATTGTTGAAGGATTAAAGTGATATTGTAAAATTCCGCTGTGTAAATTAATTGTAATCTTTATATCGGCAGATGTATGGACATTTTATTCCATTAAAAATTACTAAACAGCTTATGCAGGTAAATATTTCTTTAAGAATACAAATATTTAAATAACCATAAATATAAAGGCATCGTGAAAAATTTTAAGGATATAATTATATGAATTTGTTGTAGTAGCACATGTAAATAGAAAACCAGTGAATTAATTATCATCAGCATTTGCTATATTTTATTCGGACTTTTACTTTATACTTGTTAGATAATTACAGAAAACGTTGTCATTACAACTAGATGTGACTAACATTCGTTTAATTTTCAATGTAAAAATTCACATTTATAATTCGACGATGAAGAGAGCGAATGAATCATAATAAATGCCTGTAATCAAAAAACTTCAAAAACATCTAAACTTCACTACAATTTTCCCTAATATTATTGTACATTTTATTTTTATTTTAGCAAATTACACTTAGAATGACATAACTGATTAAATAAATATTACTACAATATACAGATTTTTTTCCAATTTTATAATAAGCAAGCAATGTATAATATAATGTCTCTCCACTTATCGGTCCATTGTATTTTTTGATCGATAATAAAGTATCAATGTAACTAGCATTGATAGATTATCATTCTATTGATAATAAAGTGATTTTTTAATAAGAAATTTAACCACTTTAATATAGATTTGAAAATTAATCACACTAATCTATAATATTAACAGAAAAAGATTTATGATTTTAATTATTCTTGAAATATTTACCTGGATTTTCTTAATTTTTATTGAAATACGATTTGTTCACTACAATTAATGCACTCTCTTTTCTTATAGAAAAATTTAATATAATCGCATGGTGCATCGTAATACATGTATATTATGCAATGATTAATCATATACAATAGTATTGACTACATTAACTTATGATACAATATAAAGACAAAGAGAATACGATTCTACGCAGGTTCGTAGTAGTTTGTAATCTTGATTGCTGATAAGCTTTCAGCCTTATTAGATTTTTATGCGTAAAAAAAGATAAAAAGAAATGAAAGATCCGAACATCGAATACTTCTATGCGTATCATTGCTTTTTACCCCTCAATATGGCGAAAACTTTTAGGCTTTTTTGACAAATAATTATTGATTTTTTAAAGTATAAGAAAGTAATAAATTTGCCCAATGAATCGAAATAATTATGAGATAATATAAATAAAAGAAGGTAAAATCTTGTATTGGTAAATAAGACAGAGAGAGAGAGAGAGAGAGAGAGAGAGAGAGAGAGAAACAATGGATAATCTTAGTAGTATTCTTTATATAAAAATTAGTTACGTTGTTAAGAATACGACAAAAAGAGAACAAAACAATTAAATAAGCTTAATATATATATATAATAACATTGTATTAGATGATGATGAAAAATTAAGTATAAAGCTGCCAATAAATGCCCATTGAATAATCCATTAATTTATCATTGAAAGTATTGAAAAAAGAATGCAGAATATTGTAAGAAGAAGCTTTTTACGAATGCCGTATTTGCACTTTGATGGTACCTCTGATAAATTTCGATTCGTTGACAAAAAAGAAAATGGAAGTATGTCCCATATAAGCTGAGTTTTCGCCTTACCGCATATCACATAAATTACGAAATATATATATATATATATATATATATATATATATATATATATATATACATGAAGTTAGAAAATTATACGAACAATTGTAATGTCATAAGTTTATAATGAACCTCGTCCTCAATTTGAAGAAAATTAAGAAATATACTTAAATAAAATACGACGAGATACGTGCGTATTTAGTTTTCATAGTGTTAGGCACAACAGTGCGTATAAAACATGTCTTTTTCATATATGAATCGTTCTTATCACTGGCTTTAGTTACTTTTGACTCAAAGTCTTATATTCAAAGGTGTGAAATTAATATTTCCCTTTATTTATTTTTATTTTTTTTTTAATTGTTCGGCTTACACTTTTATTCATCTATCTTAATCCTTTTTTATGTAACAAAATCCATGGTTTATCTTCTAATTAACTCGTTTGTGCAAGTTACAATTTTTAAAATTTTAGATCTAATACTTAGATCGATGTTTTTGAGAATGTTTTTGTATGAAAATTATAATTTTAATATTTTTGGTAAATTTAAGGGAAAATTTTTAATATGAAAATATGGTTGTAATATTTAAACACGCATTTATATAATATTAATTTTTAATAATAATAAATTGGCAATTTGAATATGAAAATTTATTAATTATAAAATGTATTTGTTCTTAGTCTATTTTTAACATTAAAAATATTATCATATAGCAAAATTATAACTTCGACATTGTTAATTCTAAATATGTGCAGATTAACATGGAAATTTGGAATTTCAGGTCAATATTCAAATGTCAAAATACCTATTATACGAAACAAAACAATCAAACAAATCATATTAATTATTTGTTACTCGATATAGTAAATAAAGTTCAAAGTATAATTTGCAAAATTAAAATATCGTCATTTTGAACAATTTGGATTATAATATCAAAATAAACATCTCGGATTTATTGAAAAAAAAAATAAAAAAAAAAAAAAAACTTTATGACTGCAATTAAGGAAAAAAAAGTGACATAAAGAGGGGAAGTATAAGATGGAAAACCAAGGAGGCCGATAATGCCAACATAAAGTTAATTTTTTACAGATATATTGTACACCTGAATCTTCCTTATTAATTCTTAATTGTAAATGAGTGAATACATTTGTTATAAAAAAAAGCGACAAAACTAAGTGAACGTAAAAACGAACGATAGAAGAAATGATAAATTTGTCAATAAGAGCACGAGTTATGGGATTTTGCTTAAGTAAGCACTGAATATAAATTCATTAAATACAAATGTTAAATACTAAAAAATTATTGCGTTCCTAAATTTATTGAACTCGAAGCCAGGAACATATGTGCAAATCCGAATGTCGATTGCCAAATGGAATGAAATGGGTTTTAAAATGACATAAAATATAATAATTATTGTAGTTTGTGTTCTTTTCAGTATTGGCTTGAAAAGTGAAAAAAAATTATTTTTATATTATTTCAAAAAGTTATAGATAGATCGAATGACGCCTTTTTATTATTAATAAAAGCTTTGGAGGTGATGGAGAAATAATAACAAGTAAAAGTGATAATTAACTGAATACATTTTATTAATTTACTCACACATCAATGCGAGTCTTTTTTGGGGACCAAAGGATAATCGCAATTTCTGGTTCCATAGTGGTTTTCTGAATAATAATGGAATATGAAAATAATAGTGGCTGACAAAAATGAATACACGCTAAATTAAATAAAATTAATTTATTAGTACGATAAACAGTATTTTTTAATTTATTTAAACTTACATTAATATGTATTATATTATAATTAGTATCATTATTATTATCATTATTATTACTTTCATTACGATAGATGTACAAATTATATTTCCTTTATTCATTTAAAATAATTGACTCATGGTTACAATATGTACATAGGTTAAATTATTCACGCATAATTATCTGTTTTCATTGTATATATATTTCATCTATGAAATTAAAAGCTTACTTAATTATATATATATATATATATATATATATATATATATCGCATCTTAATGTTGGACAAGAAAGACAACGAATTATCCTGATTCAGGATTTCATGAATTCCAAGTGTCCGTCCTTCCAAAAATTTCAGTTTTATTACACGTTTTGCTTTATGTTTTATTTACATTAGTAAATGATTTTTTAAAAATCGAGGTAGAAGTTTACCATTATTTCGACTTTGTACATACTATTAATACTTTGATATCACGCATTAAATTTTTAATATCTTCATTTGATATAGAGATGGATAAATTACTTAGATGCATTCAATCATGTTTAATATAAATTTTAAAAACTGTTCTTGTTCAATTAAATGACAATGTTAACTATCAATACTATTTAATTTATTTTAATTAGTTTTGACAATTTAACACAAATATAATACATTTTTATCGTTTTATAAGTACTAGTTGTCTATATAAAAATATTTTTCTCTTTTAGTTTACTTATATGCAGCAACTCGTGAAATTATAAGATTTTATTTTAAAAACGCTCGGCAATAACATTTTAACAGATTGAACATTTTATAATGAAAAGTGTTATTTTTACGGTCAGATAAAGTATTCGGCTCCGAAATGATTACCTCGATTATATATTATATATTTGGAAATAATATTTGCACATATTGATTGGCAGTTATTATTAACTAAACTTCAATACTATAAATATATTTATACTTCGTATAGAGTTTAGCAACTTTTTACGTACAGATGTATGTAACGTATTACTTTGGTTAGTACAATATTTTCATTGTTATATTATCTATTATACAATAATAAGGAAATATCACATAATATGTTATGTCGAGAGTCAAAGATTACTTTTTTTTTTCTTTTTCTTTTTCATTTTCTTTTTGTTTTAATGGTAATAGATTTTAATTTTACAATTATACTAAAATTATTAACTTTGCCTTTAAATTTATTTAGTATGAAAATAGTAGGCATTAAGGTATCACGATTATATACAAATAGATATTGATGTTTATCGCAATTTATTAATATTCATTATCGAGTTTAATTAAAAAGATTTTTCAATTGGAAGTTCGTATCATAAACTTATTTTAAAAGTTTTTTAATGCCGAAGTTAAAGAAAAATAGAACAATAAAAAAAGAAATGAATGTCTATACTTAAAAGAAATATTAAATCGCAACAGACAAAACAAACCTAAATTTTTACTGATAAGTGTGAATCATTTGTATTTACTAGACATTTATAATTTTATTTAAACTTAAGACTTTGTCAACTCATTACTTCTAAAAGCTGTTCAGTCGTTGAAATATATTCTGATATTCCTTGCTATAAGTAATCGATTACAATTTTATGGTTTAATTGAAAATAGTGATTCTTAGATGATACAAATTTTATATAAGAGAATCGAAAGTTACAACTGCGCTAAGATAATAATCCATAAATGTTATAAATTATTTATTTATTATAATGGACTTTATTATCGACATTAATTACTAATTGAAAAAATATTCTATATTAATAAACGTAAAAATTGAATATTTAATATGTAAATATAAATTACATTTGAAGAAATGATAAAAAAAAGTCATGAATATATGCAGAAATATTTCTTAACTTCTAATCATTGATGCGCCTTAATTTAACACTTATTTTGATATCGTTGATAAGTGTTTTTTACTTTCTATATTTGGATGCAAGGTTTCGCACTTTTTTTGTTTTTTTTTTTTGTTTTGTTTGCTTTTTCTTTCTTTTTTTGTTTTTGTTTTAAAGAATATTTCCTTACTACCATATATAATTTTTTCTCACTATCCTCATATTTCATTGGATTCACATTTATTGGATTTGTATTTAATTATTAAGTATACCGTGCGATTATGTATATAATTGGTAATATTCTTATTAATTACCAAAATTGGGCACTAATCAGTTAGCGGATGATGTATCAACCACTCGTCGATACGTTCTTGAATTCTCTTTATATTACATTTGTATGGCACGAGCAGTCGATCAGCACATGGGTAAGTTGACAAAGAAGAATACGTTGAGTTCCATGAGTATGGCGACGATGAGGAAAAGTGTGTACATGAGAAGACAAACGATGCCAACTCTCTTATTCAAAATAAAACCGGATAGAGCCGTGACGACGTAAAAGCCAATGACACAAAAGATGATCGATAGATTGCTGTAGACCAGGGTGCCAGAGACAATAGAAACACCTCTACCAGTCATTAAGGACTTAATAGCCCATGGTAGACTCAGACAGAGAAGAATATCCAGGGTATTTGATCCCAAAATGTTGCTCATAGCCATATCTCCATGACCTAATGTTTAAATAAAATTACATCTGTTTAATATTGATGCAAAAAGTGATTATTGTATAATTGCAATGCAACTACTTCATAAAATTATTAAGGGGCATATGTAATTTTCGTTGAGAATAGTGTGTGATTTAATGGTTTTGTTAAACAAGTATATTATATAACTTTTCCTTTCTCAAGACAATGACATTTAAACTTGTGTGCGGTTATTTTGAGATTTTATCTAAATCGTTCATGACTTATAAACCGCCTAAATCTCAAAGTCATTTCTTTACCGAAATTTACTGATAAAAATTGAAATAACACTTTATCTGAATATTTGAGAGATTAGAAGTATCCAACACTATCATAAAATTTGCTATGTTGACGAGAGATTGAATTTTTGAGTAAACAATAAATATATCAAGAAAATCTGTATTTAAAAGAGATTTATAATGTCATTTTCTTGAATGAAATGGTGTCGAAAGTCAGAGCAAAATTTCGGTAATTATAAAAGTTTTTTAAATTAATGTAAAACAATACATTGTTATATACAAGTTTGTCTATCATTAAAATTGAGATTGTACACGCTTACATAAACTTTTTTTCTTATACTTTTAATGTTTTACTTACCATCTCGCGTATTGACATTAACTCCAGTTATTGGTTTTTTTTTTATTTATTTATACCGTTTGCAAACCATCAACTATACTTTATCAACTTTTAAAATAATAATCTTATATAAGATATGTATATCCATAATTTGTAATTTTTCTATTATGAAGTTATGAATTTTTGTTCAAAAGCTAAATTCTACTGTCAAAGTATGTATTGATTTTAGATGGCCAAAGCCTTGTATAAGATTAAAATGTTTTCAAACAATGACGAGTTTGAAAGAATTCATTTGTACACAAAATATATTTGTATTTGCCTTAGTAAAAACATTCATAATAGTAATATATAGTTCTGTAATTTACAATACGCATTTTTTATCAAGTTCTTCCAGATTAAAATATTAATGTAAAGAGTAGAAAAGTACCGTCAAAATAAAGAATTTGTTGCTTTTAAAATGCGAATGTAAATTTTCATATACTGAAATTAAGAATAAATTTCTGTAAATTCCATAGTTTTAAAGTAGATGGAATAAGAAATAGACGAAGTTTATTGTTTTCTATTTTTGTTATAAATTCGTTATACATTAAACGTTATTATATTTCATGTTGAATTATAGTATACAAAAGATAAGAGAAATTTATTGAATTACATATAATATAAAAATTTTTATGTTTTTGTTATAATGAAAAAGGTAAATTAGTACAAGAACTATAATTTGAAAACATCTAAAAAAATTCTAAATATGTAAACAAGTTTATATTAAAATTATTATTCAAACTAGATCCATATTATTAATATTTTTTATCTCTTCATAAATCATTTTAGAAAAACTACGTGTTAATTTATTACCATATAAATATAGAAAAATAGATACTTATTATTATTATTATTATTATTATTATTATTATTATTATTATTATATATATATTATAATTGTAAAATATATTTATAATGAATTTGTCAATTGAATTTCTCAATTGAATTCAGTACTCTTTTCAATCACTAGTAAAAAAAAAAAAACAAATTTATAATTTTCAATGAATTTGAAATAATTTATTCATAAAATTTGCAAATAAAGTTCATATTATTTTTCATAAAACATGCAGTATTTATAATATCTTTGCAAGAAAAAAAAATATATATAAAAATATTATAAATACAAAATGTATATATACTAATTGGAATCATGTATAAACATTTATCAAATCCCATTTCCACAAATTTGTATTTGCTGTACGGGTTGATTTTTTTTTTTTTATACACACGTTATGTTATTATACGAGATCAATTAATTCGTTTGAATATGTAAATGAGACTCATTCATACGTCCTAGGAATTTAACTTTAGAAATGTAATAATAGAATCTGTCTATCAGGCAATAGTGAAGAATTTTGTGAATTTGGTTATAAAATGGAATACACACGCGCGGACAAACTTAAGATACATATCTTGGATATAAATAACATACATATAAGCAAAAGTAGTAATTAAAAACTAAATCGAAGTATGTTATAACGTGCATTCTTCGTGGCAATAAGCCAGTTAAACATTCACACAATATATTATGATCGATCGATCTTATCAAATAAATGATTCGAGTCGAAGTTGCGGGTTGAGTTAGCGATGTAAATCATGAATCAACGATCTCTTATAATCTTATCGTGCATCCATCGCGCGTTTGATTATATCACTTAGCGATCGTTTGGCAGAGACCTTCCACAATCGCCTTCGCATTAGAAATAAATTCTATGCTTATTGCCGCTGATAAATAGATGAAAACACTAACCTTGTCTCGATAGTATGACTATCGATACCATTTCGGGTAAATTGCCACCCGCTGATAAAAACGTAATACCCATCACGGAATCGGGAATGCCAATCGTATCGCCCACTATTGTTGTCATCCATGAGACCAGATAGGACGATATGGCGATCCAGATGACGCACATTATGAACGTTAGAGGATAAATTTTACGCAGACGTTTGTATCGGCTGTCCGGTATCGTGGCAAAAAGGAGAAACTTAAGAGGCCACGTGAAGAGGAACCAACATTTTTCATATAAGTTGCTGGCAACAGGCCACATAAATATCGTATCTAAGGTATTTATCATAAAGAAATATAATTAATAATAAGCTTTGAGTTTGCTTTCATTGGGTAATATAAAGTAATATGAGTGTATATTATTAGTATGCGAGTTTTTGTTTTTATTAAAATGAAATTTGAAATTAAGACAATGAATGGGCAGTCATACGTCACACTTGATACGCCCTCTCTTCTCGTTTTCAGCAAGATTTTGATATTTGTAAAAAATATTTTCAATATATATTATAATCGATATAATTTATTACATTACCTGGTTCTTTGTAAACTTCGAAAGTTGGCACGTGATTGACTCCAGATTCTTGCTTAGACTGTGCCTTTATTTTACTTATACTGTTTCTGTACTCCGTAACCAATTCTCCATGAAAATACGGCTTATACGTACCAAATGGCATTGTATAATTTTCATGCTTTATTGATTCTGGGAAATTAAAAGGTCCGTCAATTAAAATTAATATTAATAACATTGAGATATAAGAAATAGAATTTTCAATGATTAATGAAGCCTTTGATTTACTACTGACCTGATTTAATATCGACGTTTGTCGTTTTAGTTTGAACGGATGAAAATATTTTTCTAAATATTCGCATTACGCTATCATTAACAAAAAGAAGAGTTAAGTAGCTGGCGAAGAGGAATAGTAAAATCGCCGATTCGTACCAAGTAATCAATCCATCCCACATGACGATTACGAGTACTCCGACAGAAAATGAATAAATTACACAATCTCGCGACAGAATGTACCATTGTAGTTGTATACCCTAAAATAAATAAATTTATATTAATACTAATTGTTATTATCAATATTCTTTTGTTTTGTTTTAAAGAATAAAAAACGTACACTATGTAAAGAAATTTAGGCTACATTTATTTATTTATTATCCGAATTATTATAATGTATATTTAAGTAAAAGCAAATTATATGTATTACAAATTTAAAAATCAAAAAAATTCAAATTGTTTATAATCTATTATATATATTGACGACGTATGCTTCACGCATATATTTTTAATATATTTTGTATACTTGTAAAGTAATACTTTATTATATAACATTGGTAGATAGATAAATTATTCTCACATAAATAAAAGTAAGTTCATGAAAATTTATAAAACATTTGCGTGTGGGCGAATGTGGCTATGCCATATTGATTGTACGTATTTAATAAATGAAACTATCAAAAATATGATATAAATGAAATAAATAATTAAAGTGAATTTTTGCTTATAAAAAGACTTTCCAAGTATTTTAATATATTTAAATATTATATAAGCAAAAAAGATACGAAGGGTGAAATAAAAAAATTTATTTACCTTACAAATTCTATTACTTCAACTATATAAAATTTAAAACACTATTAATGCATTCGCTATGAAACAGACAGAGACAGACAGACAATTATATATATATATATATATATATATTATTGTTATATAGATGGTAAAATATCTCGTTGATATAAGCCTCTTAAATACAATATTCGTATACTCTTTCAACAAAATAACGTTGCAAAATATTCCAGATAAGAAATACTTTGTTCCGATTTTCATTTGTTTATAACCGTATTTATTCACAACTGTATTTATCAATAAAACTTAATATTAAATAAAATCCATTTTATGATAAATGACTACATCATTTTATAAAAAATATGTTCTCATCCTGATAAAATTTATAGATAAATTGTAATAATATGCATCGACAAGCATATTTAATGTATCCTTTTAAGTCAAATTTAAAAGTTCCATTTGAAATTTTTCTGAGTGATTCATAAAGTAATATAATTAGTATAGTAATTTATAATGGCATAGCGGTTAGTTATACTATACTATCCAGCATAATAATATTCTGAAATTTAATTAAATAAAATGTATTAGAAGCTTTTTGTATTTGTACTAATGGAATTCATGTTAAGAATTACATGTGAAGAATAAGTCATTCGTTCAAAAATGTTAGTTACGTACAACTTATTCTGACTTAAATAGTTTTCAATAAACGATATTTTTATCAATAAATTATTAAAATAGCATGCATTTCGTTAAAACTTATATGAATATTTACATTAAATAATGTGACATATATATATAAATAAATGCTTCAATTGTAAAAGAATTTGAAAATTTTAAAATAAATTTCGAAATATTGAAATAACTTTTCGGATTAATAAATTCTATTCGACAAATGCATTTATGTACAGCTACTACTATATTTTCGAGTAATACTTAGAATTTTTCTTTTCTTTCGGATAAAACGCATTAGTATCATAACTAATAAGTATAATAAGTAATCTTATTCAATAGCAGTTAAGCAATATGCCGATTAGTATACATTGTAATACATTCCTCTAGAAACATATTTATATGCATTTGTTTTATCAAATATGAGTCATTTTACTTAAAGAATACATGTACACACATTCGAAGTTACCTAATCAACTTTAATGTATTTCATTTAAAGAAAGAAGAAGCTTTGTTCATTTTAAAAACAAAGCCGAGCAATATTTTTCTTTTCAAGGTATATTTATGATAGAGATGTATCGGATAGGTAGATTTAAAAGATAAATTTAACTGATAAATTCATAAAATAAGGTTAATGATATTTATAATTATTTCATTGAATTAATTATTTGTAATACTCCTTTCATCAAACTTTTGTGAAAAGAATAAATATCATAGATACATAGATAATTAATGTGCCCAAAAGTTTCGAATAAATGCCTCGGTATGCCCTGCCCATACCTCAGGCTCATATCATTAAATCTGGCATAAACTACCGCGCATAAACAAACGCAACAAAATAAAAATTTTCATCATCGTTCTTTAATGCCTTGAGATTGAAATCTCATTGATTAGAGCGGCAATCCCAGTGTGCTCGTCGTAGTTTTCGAGATCGTAACAATCGAGCCGTAGCATACGTTAATGCTAGAAAACCTGGGAGAATTGTTAGCTATCCCGGCAAAGTACTAAAGCACCATAAGACGAACCTTAGCAGCAAACAGAGCACCGACGGCCGGCGTGGCAAAAGTGTTGAAGACGGCCCCACCGACGACCGTCCCGACGCCCAGGTCCGACTCGGTTAGAAATGTCCCGACGACGTTAACGAAGAGCTCGGGGAAGCAGCTCGCGGTCGCGAGGAATGTCGCCCCAGCGACATCAGCGCTTATCCTTAGGTCGGCGCAAATGCAGTCGAGCGACGGTAGGAGGTAATCGTTGCAGACGTAGGCTGTCAATAGGAAACTGTAGAGGCCGCAGAATATGTGGAGGAGGACGGCACCTCGTCTCAGCTGCTCCTTACTGAAGAGATCGTCGGGAAACTCCTCGACCGAGTGCGGCGAGCAGTTCTGCACAATCGGCGACGATGAATTCAATAACCACTCGGTATTGCTCTTGTTCTTCTTTATGAAATGTGATTCTAGTGCAGACAGATGCAGATAATGTACGTTAAATAAATAATCATAGTGTGCACGCGAGGTAATTGTTAGAGAATAATACGAAATGCAAAAATTATTAACAAAAACAAACTTTGCCTGAGTATCGAGAGTTATTTAAAATAAATATAGAATTTATCAATGCTTTTAGGAAGTTACAGATATGCGATATGAAACTCAATATTAAGATTGTGCAGTGAATTAATTCATTTTATTATCAAGAATGCTACGTAGATATTTACTTTTAAAATATTTTTCGAATATACGAATGTAAATTTTTTATGGATATATATATATATATATATATAACTTTTTTTTAATACTTTACTCAAAAGTCTACATTAATTATATTGTATTTATGGTTGTAGAAATGTAATTAAACAGTACATTCTTAACTAGAAACAATTACAAAAAAATAAATAAATAAATAAAAGTAAATATCCATTTACGTTTTAGCGATATAGAAATTTTTAGTTAAATTAAAAATCCTACAAAATCTTAATACAAGCTGTTCGGTGACAGAATAAGCTTACAGAATATATAATGCGAAAGTTTGCACTTCTACTAAATAAAATTGAATGTGTGATTAAATTTATCCAATTCTTCATTTTCTTTTTAAATATGATATGTATTGGATATTCTCTGAATAATGTCAAAGTGGTACATTATGCTTTAAAATATTATTGTATATTAAACTTATTTAGTTAAAACTGTTAAATAGAACGTATCTTATCAATATTATTGTGAATTAGTATCGATAATCAATTTTCACAAGTATAACTAATAAATAACGGCTACTTTATTAAAACTATAACTTTGTTTATTGTACATTAAACAGTCGTAAAGAAGCATCATATTAACATATTATGCTTAAACTTGATTAATGTCACTTTTTTATTTAAATGTATCTTCTTACGTAAAATTATTTTAAAATTAAACTACGTTATATTGATGATAATGTACAATAAGTGTTTTAATATAATAATTGTTTTAAAAGTGTTTTAAGTGTATGATTAAAAGTAGTTTCAAATAAAATGTTGTAAAACATAATGTGAAGCATGCATTAAGAGCATGTTTCCTTAAACAATATATTTGTTAGTTAATCTACGATGTGTGCTAAGAGTATTACTTATTACATGAATAATAAGATTCGGTCTTCAATATACATTTGAATGCATATAGAATTCAATTTTTGAACATTATTTTAGTATGCAGAAATCATATTAATGGTAATATTAGTATTAATTAAAATAATAATAAAGAGTTATAAGAAATTTAAATACAAAACTATATGTCGAAAGTGACATTGCATAATTTATTATAAAATAAGGAATACAGTTTGATATTGTTATTTATTACATTTAATTATTAAGCAATTGAATTAATAACTCCGAATAATTTTCCTTCAAAATAATTTAGGTTTTGAGAGGTTGCAGTCTTTAACAAATATATATTTATTTACTTACATCATGAAATTATTATTTTTCATTTCTTAGTGAAAATTAATTGTATAACAGGAAAGACGTATTTGAAAAACTATGTTTCTCTCTTGAATTATCATAATTTCAATATATTTAATATCTTATTATTAATATCACTTCATAAATAAACATATCATTAGTCGTATATTTATTTCAAAATAAATTAAATAATTTTGTACATATGTTTGTAAAGAAAGATTTATTTTCAATGTAAAGCAGTTTAATGTGAAGCGATTATTATAACAATTGGCATGAAATGTATTACCAAAATTTATTGAAACAAATGTTTACAAATCATCCACTACTTTTTCTATTTTAGAACTATCGTTAAAAATACTGTGAGCATATTGTATATTTAAAATTTTTATATATTTTTTATATATTCGAAAATATTTAAATTTATAATACTTTTGAAGATATGTTCTATATTTTATTTTAATCTATTTTACATAAAATTATTATTATTATTATTATTATTATTATTATTATTATTATTATTATTATTATATTAAAGATGTCGATTAAAACAGTTGATATATTTTCTATGTTTCATTAATAATAATGAAAAATTTATTAATAGTTTTTCACTTTGTAGCATTTATTTATAATACCATATAATCAAAAAGTTAATAATAAATCTTTTAAAATATACATATATATGATATACATTGTTTTCAATATTCAATTTTGTCTATTTCTTTTCGCATATTATTGCTTTACTGTGATTTAAATTTATTTAATTACTGAATTTGTATTTAGTATCTATCATTGTAAAATTATGGCTTTGTCAAATTTTTACAAAATTATGCCAAAGATACTATGGTTACTAAAATTTATCCAGACTAACACAAAATAACAATATTAGCAGTATTTTTAACAACAACTATGTTACAATTTATTATTAATTTGTATTTGTAGTCATTTATCTTTGAGAACTAAATCATAAATTTTAGAGTAAATCTTTTGTTCATACGAAGCATATCAATTATTATTATTAAATGTATATTATTTTTTTTTTTAATATCGTGTTTTTTTAAATAATATTTTATTGGTTATGCATTTACAATCATTCAATTAGCAAATAAATAAAACACTGAGCAATTATTACATTAATATTGCCCAAAAATTTGTATAATTTTCAGTTTAAGGAATAAAAATATTGTTCATTCCATATATTTAATAAGAAATAAATTACGAATTTTTGAAAAACATTTATTGTTAACAGGGAATATCATAAATTTTTAATAATATTAACAATTTATTACTTTGTACGATTCTTTCTCATTTCTTTTCTTATTAATTGTACGATTTTTTAATTTTAATTATGAAATGTAAGAAATTAAAATATTAAAATACCCATATAATGCTAAAATCTATTATTTTTTATTAATTCTGTATTCCGATAAAATTTATTTTTCATTGATATAGATGTCTTTCATATTGAATATAATCTAAAAATCTACTAATCTATACATAATTAACTTATAATAATCTTTCACTGTGGAGATTGATAAAATAATTTAGTAATAACAGTTTCTCACTCAACACCAAATGTTTATTTAGTTAACGATTTTTTATTATAGCTCATGCAATAGAATTTTATTGTATTTCTGCAATACTCATATATGTCGCAACTAGTAATAGATATTGACTCTGTCACAAATAAAATTCTATTAAAAAATAATATCTCTTAAATATATACATATATAATAAATATATAAAAATAAATATACATAGTGTATTTATATGAAATTATTATTTATGAAAAAATTTATAAATCCATTTTAATGAAGTACAGTGATAAATACTAAGTTACCTGCAAAATTAAAAAATAGTATTTATTTGGTTTTATATCTTATGCATTATGTAAATATTTTAAATGCTTCTTATCAAATTAATATTTTATTATGATTGCATTAAAATGCAATAGAGAGAAAAATGATTGATCTTGGATAGAATGCAAATGAATACTATAATGTTAATATTAAGGCTTATTAAAATATGTTATTAATAAAATTTATTTATTTATTGTATTTTCATTTTTACTTTTTGTGGTAAATAATATATTTATCGAATATATAACATATATAAGTTTTTGTACATAGAAAATGTATTAATTAAAATTGTAAATATCAAATATATTGATTTTGTTTATATTGTACAAAAAATTTGTATTGTATTTATTTCTCTTTACAGATTATAAATATAAAGAAATAATCAATAGTTTTAATAATACTTTTAACAAATACTTGACTTTATTTTCTAATATTTTCGTTGGCGCTGTATTTAACTTTTTCTCTCGCATAAGTAACTTTCAATTATTTTATTTTATCATTTTACAATATTTATTATATAAATGAAAATTTATCGTTCATGGCTTAAAATGACAAATATTTAATATAACTGAAATTTTGAATTTTGAAGAGTGTAAGTAAGATAAAATTTATTTTTAAAGAGGATTTTCAATTAAATAACTATTATTATTTATTGTATATGCATGTAATATATAATTTTATATATACACTCCATTTATTATATTTATGCTTTGAATTGTATTAATTATCGAATGGTAAAATTCAATTTTTATCGTTAGAATTATAAAAAAGAAGGATAGTGAAATAAAGTAGCAAAATATATTTGTATAAATAATTCCTTAAGTAGATTATAATAAATTAAATAGATCATGACGGAAATGTAGTTAAACTGTATAAGACGTTATAGAGTTGAATCAAAGTTTATCGAGATTGAGTTCACACGGGAGACGAAGATTTTATAAAATTTTAACATTACTTTTCGTCATAGAAAAAATGAATGCTCTTTTGAAAATGAAGATTTAAAATAAGCATAAAGTGTAGCTTTTAATTCGTAATAAATGCAAAGAAATAAATAAAACGACAAAACTGGGAGTGCGACTGTGAGTGACAAAGTATCGTAAAGAAAAATTGCCGCAAGCACAGTATCGGTGAAAATGAAAAATCAATATTAATAGTCCATTGTTCCCTCGCGACTTCTCAAAATGTTTTAGAAAAATCGTCTTGGTTATACAGCTGGTAAGCAGGCAACATTGGCATTTAGCATAGGCCGAGAGCAGTGGCAGGTTCGTAATGAAAATCAAGGTCTCACCGTTCCGAAGGTCCAAGGTGTGCGCCTGCAGAGCCTCGGTGAAAAGGACAAGGGCGAGAAGGACGAGGGTCAGCGAGGTCACCGCGATCGGCTTCCCGAAGGAGGCGCGTCGACACGGACCCATCGGCTCGTCAGCACATGGGCCTGACGCACTGAGAAATGAATGAAGAAAGCCTCGGCTGGCGAAGCTGTTCCCGATATGTCCAGAGTGCGACTAAGCCAACTCTACCCCTTTCCAAAGTCTCGCTCGGATCTCTCGTACCTGATTCTCGATTTCCCCTACTACCGTCGCTTCTAATCTCCTCGATGACTGTCTGTCTCGTTCTCGTGTCTGGCCTACCGTGATTGCCTGTCCCAACCTCGCGGGCACTGGATTTTCGTTATCGGGATGCGGCGACTCGGGGAAAACGGTAGTAGATAAGCTAATGGAAGTGGATGTCTTCGCGAAGGCTGCGCCGCGTGCGTTTCCTTTTTGTTACACGATGCCAATGACACGAGGATGATGCGATACCTCGTGACCAGATTTTCATTTTCGGGGACATTCGGTCTCAGACTGGATAGGCCGATAATTACGAGCACTGCGGAATGTCGGATCCTGGAATCTGTCGCTAGCATAGGCTCGGGAATATTCGTCATTAATTGCTTTCACAATGTTTTCCATGATGAAATGATATAGTCAAACGTTCTTATTATTTACCATAAAAAAATAATTAAATCAAGCATTGATAGTACTATGTATTGCATGTTGTTTCCTCTTCGCACCAACGGCCATTTGAAATGAAAATTAATGTATTTATTTTTCAAGTGTGGTAAGCTTTTTGGAAGGGTTTGTTTTGTTTAATATGCCTTTGCAGCTACTTCCAACTACTGTAATTACTGTGCCTTATTACGAAGATTAAATTAACTGAAGCATCGATCGTAATTTTGATAATGTCCTCTTGATATCACGAATTTTTCAACTATAAAATAAAACAATATTTATTATATACGATAGTGGATCTTTGCCGATCTGTAGTCGATACAAATGCTTAGATTATTAGAACTCATTGATAATTAAATGGTTTTATACATAAATTTCTTGGATCATTGGCACCAAATCATCCATATTCAATTATTAATGGCATTATATTTATACAAATAATACCGATTCTTATTGATCATTAATCGCACATTAATAATAAATATATTTTTATTGTTAATTATAATCGATAAAAAGTATTGATATTTAAGTAATCGACATTATTCAATTTCTTCCTACCATTCAATAATGACATGAAAATATAATAAATTGAAATTTTTCAATCTTTTTAAAATAATATTCATAATAAAATTAACGATATTAATATTATGATAATGTAATATTTCAGCTTATCATAAAATTGATATTATTAATATGAAACAATTAATACTTCTTTCGATTGTGATAACTTGACCTATAAATTATATATACAAATTTTTCAAAAAAAATCTTCAATTTTCAAATAGAACACATAATAATAGTTATTTTTATATCGAAATATGAAAAATATGGGATACTGATTTTATTACTGATATCTTTTTATTATTTTAATGAAAAATGGAATATTACAATAAGAATTTTTTCCATTTTTTAATTGACGTTGAATTCAGGATTATTGACTTATTACAAATTTCAAATTGGTTTATTATTGTATCGTATTAATGACCTGCAGTTTCTGAAAATGTTTGAATAAAATAATATAGCATAAATTAAATGCGATTGTCATTCAGTTTTGAATGTGCGTGATGTGACTTTCCAGCATAGACTAATTATTTTCACAACCAAAGAAGCTATTTACTTCATCTTTGTTACATGTATGGGAAATTGAGGTCAAGCCAAAGGTGAAAAAATAGAGTTTAAGTTCATTGAACAATTGTAAGAGTACTTTAATAAATAAATTTATAGAATTTTAAGTAATTAATACATGATTGTATAATTCTATTCATAAAAAAATATTCTGTAATTGTAAATTTGCTTACCGGAACAGTGCGTAAACATCTGGCATTAATGTACATAATAATAAATACAATTGAAAATTTGTAGTCTGTCGACAAAATATTCGTTATAAATGCGTGTAGTAAATTAAAGCAGAAATGGAAGAAAATCTTAGTGGTAGATTAATAATTATTTCATTTTCTATGAAATTTAGGTAATACAACTTTACTCAAATAGAAAAATCTACTCATTAAATATTTTCTAATGTACTGTTAGATTAATATATACAAAATTCTTGTACTGACGTAGATTGTAAATTTCAAATTGTAAATTACGATCAAATGAAGTAAAAAAGTTACACACACACACGCGCGCGCACGCACACATACGCACGCACACACACGCACACACACACATTGGCACACACACACACACATACACACATACACACATATATATACGTTATTGTTATTTAGGTCAAGAGCTATTCAAGATCAAATAATTACTTTTTTTCCAATTTTGTTTCTATTTATTAATTCAATCAAACTTTGTTACATACTGATATTATGGAAAAAAATTATATATACATTTATGTTAAAAAGATGTATTCGCCTAGTTTTGGAAAAAACTACAAAACAGCAATTACACATTTTTTAGAAATTCTCCAATGTGGATAAATAAAATAAGTGATTTATAAAAGGTATTTATTCGTTTATCTTTTAAAATTCAAAAAATTAGGATTCTTAAACCAAATTGTTTCGGAAATATCTTTCTACAAAAAATATCAATCACCAAGAAAAACAGGATTTTTAAGAACTTTTAGTAATATGGTTGAAAAATTAAATAATTCCAAGAAGATTTAAGTTAATTTTATTCTGAAAAGTTTTATATAATAACATTCATAATATAATTATCAGTTACAATTAATAATTAAAAAAATTATATATATAACACATAATAAAGATAGTACTAAGTAAGCACTGAAATTATTTATAATACAATTTTCATAATTTTCGTTAAAATTTTAAACGAGAGTAACTTTTTTTATCTAATATACTTCATATTCATACTATTTGTTATGATAATTATTTGTAAATAAAATTTTTAATTGTAATTCGAATATAATTTAATAAAACATATTGGAGATATGAAACTGCTATATAATATAAAATCATCTTTAGAAGAAAAAATGAAAATGAACCTGTAATATATATTAATAAATTTAATTAATTACAAATTATGCGTCAAATTAATTAAAATTTTTACTGAATTGTACATGAACATTGATTTTTATGATTAGATTTAACTTCTTATTGAAATAAAATCTACCATTAAATTGTAATTATTTACATACATTATGAATATTTATACAAATTTGAAACATATAAATTTAAAAAAAAGTAATTGTAAATCATCATAAGTGTATGAGCATAAAAGAAATTAATTATTATTAATAAACTATTATTAATAAAATGTATTTGCAATGGCTTATAATTTTTCAGAAAATATGTATATTTTATTGAAGTGCATTTTTTATTACTAAATTTATATATTGCTAATAAATTAAAAAAAAAATAAATTAATTTGTAAAAATTGGCTTGCATTTAATACCTAAGATTGTATATATGAAATACGCTGCGTAAGTATAATAAAAAAATAAAAGATATTAAATTCTTTTTTTCAAATATTTAATTAATTTTCTATTCGTTAAATCGACTATTGTCGAGCATTAAAATTATATATACATATTTCTGTATATATTAGATTAATGTATGTTATTAGCCAATCACTTTGTATTAATTAAGTACAACAATAAAATACTATATTAACCATTAAATACAAAAATTTATATTATTGATTACAATTATAGATGTTGAAAATAAACTAAAATCTAATAAATGCATAATTGGATAGTTAGTTCATTATTGAAAAATGATATTTCATTTTTAAGTAATAAATCGTTAATAAGCAAAAAAATACATTTTATATTTGTTGTAAACTCAATATCAACAGTTTAAACTCGTTTGGTATTTGAAAAATTGGAAGTCTTGATAATTACAGAAAAATATTAATTATTTTCTCATAATTAGAGTAAAACAATTGGTGAACATTTTTTAGTAAACGCTTACTTGTGAACATCTTTAACTATGACATTTTATATACATATATATACACACACACATACACACATATATATATATATATATATATATTATACATATTTTACTTACTAATTTAAAAATCAGAAACAAATTTATTATATGATAAATTTTTAACTATTTGCAGTTTTATATATTTTTCATATATTTGATGTAATGATTTTATTGTTCATGATACGTCTTTTATACTTTTTGATAAGATATAAAAGAAAAATAAGTTTTAATGATCATTTTTCCTTTATTGGCTTTCTTTGTAATGTATCATCGTAAACGCTAATGCAATTGAATATTTATATGCATGCGTTTATACGCACACACACACACACACACACACACACACATATATATATATATATATATATATTATACATATTATACTTACTAATTTAAAAATCAGAAACAAATTTATTATATGATAAATTTTTAACTATTTGCAGTTTTATATATTTTTCATATATTTGATGTAATGATTTTATTGTTCATGATACGTCTTTTATACTTTTTGATAAGATATAAAAGAAAAATAAGTTTTAATGATCATTTTTCCTTTATTGGCTTTCTTTGTAATGTATCATCGTAAACGCTAATGCAATTGAATATTTATATGCATGCGTTTATACGCACACACACACACACACACACACACACACATATATATATATATATATATATATATATATATATATATTTATATACTTATGATATTTATTTTAAAGATACATCTTCCTAAATACTTTCTTTGTTCTTTTTTTACCGTCTCCTGTGCGCTCTCTCTCTCTCTCTCTCTCTCCCAGTTTTCTTCTTGTATCTTTCTTCACTGCTTTATCCCTTTTATTTTTTATCTGGTAAGTGCTTGTTTCTTAAACAACTAGTTAAGCACAATTAGTCCAACTTCTTTTCTCCCGCACATCTTTTGTTTTTGAAAAGTTTTTATATCGTGTAATCGTCGTATTAACGAGGAGATAAAATTTTTTACAGTATGTAGATATATAATATTTATTAAATATATAATAGAAGTATAAATTCTTATTCAAACTATAATAAATGTCTATATATATATATATATATATATATATTATAAAGTATGTATAAACAAATTGAAAAACAAATTAGTTGAATATTTTCAAAAATTTCTATTTTAAAATTTTGTATACGATAATTACATATGATTTTTCAATAGAAATAGAAATAATTTTATTCGATAAATAGATAGTTAATTATTAATAATTGTAAGTTAAAATTTTAGTTTATTTATTTCTCAGTATTTTTAAATAGCAATTTAAAAATCTTTGATAATGACTGATAACATTACAACTGAACTTTACAAGATTTTGATAATCATAATGTCAAATAATCTATATTATGTACTTATTTACTTTTTGGAATTATTATATTCGTAATACTTTTTATATATGTTGACAATATATGTTGACAAAGTACTGTATAATATATATTAATTTAGTAATTAGTAAATCATTTCGATGATTGACACATCATTCAGCAATGATTACAAGTACACAAAATTACGTTTTATTGAACAGAAAATGAGCGGTTAATAAATAATATAATAGTTAAATTAGTAAAATTAAATTAAATTTTATAATAATATTATTCAATAGCAAGTTATTTAATGTAAGTAATGCAACTTTGTTGGAAAATTATTTTACAACCATAATATATTAAGAAAAATAATCTTTGCTACAATATCGTGAATATAAAATAAAAAACGTATGTCTTATAACGGGTCTTTTCTAATTTAATATATCCGATTAATAAAATAATATATAATATTTTCCAATCTAAATAGATTAAATAAAATATGAAATTTCCAAAAATTTATAAATTTAGAAATTAAAACATTAAAGTGATTAATTTTATTATACATAACTGAAAGTATAATTGATTTATTTGCTTTTATGATTAATATAATTAATTTCGTTGATAAAATTATTAAAAAAAAAAAAAAAAAAAAAAAAAAAAAAAAAAACTATAACCAATAACACTAAAGTTACATATTATCATAAATTAAATTAAATAGCATCACAATACTCAGCATTGTCCAATATAATAAAAAAAATGGAAGTTTAAATAAAATTTCGTAAATTTTGTATTAAATTGTTAATGCCCGTATATTTACCAATATATGTTTAAAATAATAAAAATGATAAAATATCATTGGATGTTCAGTTTTATTTTTTATTAAATTTGTTTAACCTATTTTTGATCAAGTTCATTTAAGCGCAATTGTTGTTATTCTTGAAAAATTTCCCTTTAACTTTTTGACATAAGATAGATGAATAAATACGTAATTTTATTAAAATTGTTTATAATGTACATTATTATTATTATCATTATCTTTATAAGCAAATATCTTTATTTTATAATGGTTGTTTGAATTTCTATAGCAAGATCTATAAGTCAAGCGTTAATAGCAGAATGAATGTTGTGATGGGATAATAAATAAAATAAGTTAATTTTGTTTTATCTTTCAAGTTTTTTTAATTATTTTTTACAAACAATATGTGCATGAAACACATGAAGCGTTTTCCATTTACTAAGTATCTCAAAGATAATTGAAAATATTTTAATGGGGCAAAATAAGTTATTGTTATGAAATAAAAAAAAATATATTTTTTCTTCTTCAGAACAATCCAAATATAAATGTGCTAATTTTCAGTTTTATATTTCTATTATCTTTTAAAACAGCTAGTAAGATAAATTAATAATAAACTGATTTATTAATCGAGTTGTCAGACTATTTAACATATAGTCAAGTATCTAATTTATTTATAAAAAAGGTAATATCAAATTTTGCTATTAAAAGGAAAAATACATTCAAGAAATAAAGAAATTTTATTTACAATGTATTCTATGTAAGATTATAATTTTTTTTTATACATCTTCACTAGGAAATACTGAACATTGTAAATGGATTAGTAGATAAATATATTTTGTACAGTGATATTGTTAAAAAATACAAATTTTCTCCTTTAGAACAAATATAAAATTAATTTTCTAACTCATTTCACTTTGTCCTATTCTTTATACTTGAATCATTATTCATTATGATTCATAAAACATAAATTAATTACGCTTAATAGCACATCTTTGATAGTTTGGGTTAATTTAAGCAATAAAATATGGTGCCTTTTAAAAACATGTATTTTATGAGGATAAGAAAAAAATTATTTTTCTGATAGTGTCAAAATATTATCAAAGGAATAAATAATCCCCTGCGAAAAAGTAGATTTATCAAAATATGAGAACACTATTTGATAGATTTAATTATTAAACTTGAAATTACGTTTGAAGCTATGTAGAGATTACAAAAAGTAATTATTCAACGCAGTGTTCTACATTTTCCATAATGAACTTATAATCTATGGTACTTAAAATGTCTGTCATTTAATGGAGTATACATTAACTGCGATCAAGAGAATACAAGTTGTAATGTAAAGGAGATTTGCTGACAGCTTGATACTGGAGTCCTTCTTACGATTATATATGTAAAAAATATAGTTTAAAAAAATTGCACAAGGTTTACTTAGTCATGCTTCGCTTTACAATTTTGTTTTACCATAAAAGCTGTCTAAAAATAATCCTAAAAATACAAAAAATGTAGCGAGCCATTGACGAGGTAATAATGAATTACCGAAGAATATCACCGACGCTATTACGGTGAAACATTTTCTAGTGGTCGTGGCCACTGAACAAGTCAGCGGTCCAAATTCAGAAACAGTCAAAAATATAAAGTATTGTCCTAATGCTCCGCATATTGATAGGGTTATAATATGATGTAACGCTGCTGGATGTCGTTGTAAGAACTTGAGAAAGTTGAACAATTCGCCGGAAAATAAAACGACAACTCCACTGAAGAAAACAGACCACATATTCATATTGAACATCATGTGACCGGATTTAGTCTTATGCTCTCCTCGCATTTTTTCTTGTATCGTACTAGTCAGACTGTCCATCATCAAGGAGAGCACCAGCAAAATTTTACCAAAGCCCTCTCCTTCGATAGTTTTTAAAGGAACGTTATCCTTGTACATAAAGATAACTACTCCTGTAACGATGAGCGTTACAAAGCAATATTTTTTAAACGAATAAACCTGAAAGAATTCAATTTACATTACTTAGTTTGCACAAATTAGCGTGCCAATTTCAACTAAATTCGAAGAAAGCAATAATTACTTTTCCACCGATAAGGGATCCCATAATCATAATGGGAATGGGTTTTGCAGCCTTGGCCACCACCTGTGTTGGATAATTAACGAATTGCAAGGCCATATTGCTAGAAACCATGGCCAACAGGTATGTAAGCGCAGATGTAGCATAATACAGATTCTTTGTTGTATCCTCTTCCTGTTTCATCACAGTCACAAGCAACAACTTGGCAAATATACAATTAACGGCACACTGCGCGAAAACCAATGCGAACATATACGTGAATTTCTCCGTATTGTCTCCGTCGACATATTGACCCCGAGTCAATTTTTCCTGAAGAATGGCAAAGTAAAAATAGCAAACAAATATACCGGCAGTGCAGATTATGAGCTTTCCAGCGCCGTGGTGCTGAGACATTGTTTTACACGAGATGCGGCTTCAGTGTACGGAAAGTAAACACGCGAAACTAGGTTTAAGTTAGCACTTAAGGTAGTGGCACCAAGCATTAGAGTTCAAAGATTTATACGTATTATGTTTGCAGCACATGTTGACACTTTGCAGCAGAAGTATCCACGTTGACAGCGGTGAATGGGTAGCACTTTGGTCTGTGATAAAAAGTTATTTGGACGATGAACAACATCCGAAATAAAATGGTTCACATAGGCTCCAGCGCCACCTTAACCAAGTACAATTCACATTCAAAATACATAGCCGAGGTACGTTATCGGCTTGATTAATTTTGATTGCTTATATCCGCGTAACTAAATTCAGAAATACAGTCAATAAATTAAATGTTCCCAACTACAGTATTGCTATTATTGAAGATTATAATTGAAAAAATGCAGTTTAGAAACTCAATAATATTTTTATTATTGCTGGTATATTGCATGTCATATAGCACTGTTATAAAAAATGAGCATTTTGAGCAAAAATGAGCAGTTGACGGGAGCGCGTTTATTTAATTAAAAATCATTTAATCGACGTTCACCGTTCTACTATATAAAGCTATAATAACATAAATACCTTACAGGTATATTTGCTCTCATTAAAGTAATGGTAAATTTTTTAAAAAAAATTTATTATCATTATAATAAAGAATTTTGTACGTATGAAGACATGAGTTTTAAACGAATGAATATTACAAACGCAAGTGGACTTTCTTAATAGGAAAAAGCTAATGAATATCACGTAGTTTCAATACGCAATTACGCATAAATTATTTAATTGATTTAAGTGATTACATAGCTTTCAGACACAACTTTGATCTCGCATACAAAATTAATCAATGTGTGGAAAAAATTTAAAGAAAACTAAATAAAATTAATATATAAATTAAAATAAGCTTATAACTTATAATTTAATAAATAATTTTATTCTCATTTACATCTTCAAATTTTGCATTTGTTGCTGATAAATTTCTTCTAAATTTTCATTATAATGGTGTTTTTTATTCGTTAGTCGTTAAAAATATTTCTATTAAAAATTAAAAATTCCAATATTATACATATATTTCTTAATTAGCAATAAAGAAAATTCTCTTTAGGTTTAAGCTGCATTTTAAAATACGCGCGTACCATAAGTTTTTGTATGTAAGAAAATAAGAAGCAAAAGTAATAAAAGTAATATACGCGTATGGTTAAAGCGAAGAACCCCACCTTAATGGCTTGGTGCAATGAATTTTCCGAAACTCCAAAAACCTTTGCCTTCTTTTCGGATGAATAAATGTTTGTCTTTGGGCTTGTAACGTAAATTTGGTAAGTGCTTATTTATCATTAAAGAGTACGTTTATTGTAATGAGCAGAAGTTAAAGTTTAAATTCTCGCGAGAAAATAAAACTATTCCAGTGTTTTTTGGATCTCGTGCAATTTGTATACAAACATTATTGGGTGTGCCAGTATGACACATTCAAGTGTACCTGATTGACTAATTAAATTGTAAATACTTAAAATTGTTAAGGAATGCGTTTATTGCCATTCGTAAAAATCAAATATAATTATAATAAATTTAATCAGTACATGTTATTTCATATTCAAACGATCTTTATTCATACAAGTCATAAAATAATTTTGGGTTATTTGTTTGATGCTGAACTACAAGTTATTTTATTTGTATTTGACTTAATGAATTTGAAACAGTTGTTTGTTGAATGTACGATTTATTTTATTGATAAGAACAAATTAATTTATTTTACTTTGCCTAATATTTTTATAATTTTGTTGATAGATTTACTAAGACAAGATGAATTATGGAAAAAAGTCGCCCAGCATGGGCACACCGTCCGTGTATTCACATGTTACGACACGTAGTAGTGCAAATCTTAGATCATCTAGATCAGTTAGAAGTGTAAAGATACCGTGGTATCAAAAACGACTATTAACAAATGCATTTGTATTGGATATACAGAGAGGTGCAATGGTTACTGGTATATACTCGTTGGTAAGTTACAAACATTATTTCATTCGAAAATTAAATTTAAGCTTTGTAGAATTTATAATTTTTATTCTATTTGATTACGTCTAAATAACAGTAGAGTGACAATTTAATTGAAACTCCATATTATAATTGACACCTGTTTTGATGTTTTTCAGTTTCTATCACTTTTTACTATTTGTACCGCAGTTTTTGACATTTACTGTCTGTCACAAGCTGCACCAGGTTCGATACATTATGGATATTATTTAATATCTTATGAATTTGTTTATGTAGGAAACGAACATGGTAATTCGTAGATATGTGCTATTTCAATATTACAAAATTTAAAATAATCAGTGTTTAATTTGTATGAAATTTTTCAGTACGTAATGCCCTTATCGTATTTGCGTTATTCTCAATGCTTGGAGGAATGGTGATTCTGGTAACATCGTTTATCCTAATTAAAGCTCTGAGAAAGGAATATGAAAAGAAAATGGTTCCATGGCTCTATAGTTTCGCCATATTTACTCTCTTCAGGCTATTTGCCTTTTTATTCTTTAGTATTGTCAATGATATGATCTTCGCTTATAATATAATGATGTGTCTTCTTTGGATTACTTTCTCCGCTGCATCCATTTATGGATGGTTAGTAGTCTACTCATTATACATCGAGTTGAGTGATTTAACAAGACTAGAAGATCTTGCTCATTTGAGGGTAAGTTTTTAATATGATTCCAAAACTAGTAAGAGAGCAATCAAATTTAAAGTTTCTAACATTGTAATGTATACGGAGAAATTTTGTTAGTACTTTATATTCTTCGTTTATTAATAATACAAATTTGTTACTTGACCAGTGCAACTTATTTAAGAAATTCTATTTGAATTAACATATTTTGATTAATTACCGAATAATTTTTTCAACTGCATTATTTTTCACAGCTCTAGTATTTCTTTTATATAAAATATTAGCACAAGTAAATAATAAAAAAAATTTTCACTACATAATTCAACTATACATTGTTATACATAAGTTTAATTATTAGTTATTTGATTTCTGTGAATTATAGATTGGAACTATGCAATCATTAAATGCATCAACGACTCATTCAATTGCGGGATCACGGCCTACAACTCCACACAGCACAGTTTCCACGATGCCAGTCAATTAAATTTAATAATTAAAATCGCACCATTAAATAATGTGTTAAGAATTATCACACTTTTAAAATGTATTATTGCTTTTGTTACACCTTGAGTGAGACTTCAAGATAAGCAAAATAATTAATTTTAAGGTCAATTTTATAGAACTAATAACTTTATTTTGTAAGAAACTTTTTTAAAATATTGATAATCACATTTATAATAACTGATTTGAAGAACAAAAACAAATAAATTGTTGAATTTACTATTTATATATATAAATATATGCGCGTGTGTGTCTGTGTTTGTTTTATTCGTGGAAAATGATGTATTATAATGGAATCCACAATAATCATATTGCAACAAGAATTATTAATTATTATTCTTAATAATTATGAATCATACTATCTTCAATTTTATAAAATTGGGCTAATGTGATTTTGCCTATTAAGTTTACAATTATTATAAATATATTATTGAAATAACAATAGACAATATTCAGCCTACTTACTCATTATTAACAAAATAACAAGATAGAAAAAATCGTCCATCTATATTGTGGAAATAACTGTTTGACCGATGTATCATATTTCTAATTTCAATTTATATTTTTTTATTTTAGTAAAAATAAAAATAAACTCTGATTTTTTTTTTCTTCAATGTCTAGTGCTTCAAAGACTAATATTTCTTACCTTCAAAGCGTACATACGTTAAAAGTCAAATTCTCTTAGTATTATAAGTGTTATTATTTTATAGGAGTATGTAGATTTTATAAACACTAGTCTATTTCATTACTAATTATGCACACATGCGCATACACACACACACGCACGCACACACACTGACGCAACCGCGTGCGTTTGTGTAGGACTAATGAGTTTTGAATTTATATACGCGCATAATTTCTCGATGCACGACATCGTTCGTGTAACTACCTTAATGTATATATCATCACCTTCTTTTATTTCCTACGATTGCTAGAATTTTATAAATTATTACAATAATGATTAATTGTGCCGTGAATTCTCTGGCGGCCATAGATTTGACTTTCAGTTCGTTTCTCAACCGTCCTTATTTCATTTCAAATTCGAGGAGTTTTAGTTTAGTGTTAAAAAGACGATAGATGTCGGTATGATTTATAAAATCTTTAAATTTTAATTCACATATTTAAAATATTTCTGACAATTAAATGCAATTGGCACTCTATAAATATTACTTTTATTAATACAATCCTGCGACAAATGTTCGTTAAACTCGGTGTTTAATGTTGACAAACGTTGGGATGGCAATTAATGAACATCAACACTCTACTGTAGAAAAAATTCCTTTTAAAGTAACATGAGACAAAGCGGAATCAATCAACAGCTTTGAAAGGAATGAATGGCTCATTACTCGCCTTGGCCCTTGGATGACGACGACGACGACGACGACGACGACGACGACGACGACGAGGACGGCGACGCCGACCCCGACGACGCTGATCTTCATAATGCATTGGGATTAACAGCTTCGTGTACCGTTACAAGTACGTAACTAACTGCTTACCAAGCGTTATGTATTTGAAAATTTTTATCAGACAGTGAGAGTGGACCTCTTGCTTAGCGTTATAACCTGACGGAAATTATAAATCGCCTGAAATACTTATTTCCATCTGCAGCGGTTAACTAATGTCGAATTAAGTAATAATATAATCTCTTGAATGGTAATTCATAATCGTGCGCGGCATCTTTATATACTAAGCTTCGGTGAAAAAAAATGTTTTTAGCTTCGTTGTAATTCGTCTAGCCAGGCACCGCCCTTTTGTCAGTAGAATTTTTGGTCTTCTAGCAAGAGAAAGCGTTCGCCACATTATATGAAAAATCAAAATTCACAATTGTATTTAATATCATGAATATATATATATATATATATATATATATATATATATATATATGAAATTATTAAACTATCGTTATTTATAAATAAATGTGTATTAATAAATTCTTAAATTTCAATTAATTTTATTTTCGGTATTTATTTACTATATAACTATAAAAATCTCATACAAACAAATTTCTTATCTTTATTAAATTTATATAATTATGGGCAAGTAATTATTTAAAAGCAAGATAAAAATTTAGAATCAAGTTAGGATAAATACAATGCTGTAACGACACATACAGATTGAATGACATTGAATTATAAAATGTTCATTATTAACATTGTTTTACGCTATTATTAAATTCAATTACAATTATAGCTGAATTAGTCTAAGCAAATTCGCTTTAAAATTAACGTCGTAATTTATCATTAAAAATAACGCCCGAAAGATCCAATTATAAGATAATCTAACGATGTTAAACTTATATTAATACTTGTTTTAAAATTTATAAAACAAACCTATACATAATTCATTAGAATAATTTCGAAATAAGAATCAGATTTTCAAACTTTTATCAGTTGGAACAAACTGCGTGTATTGATGAATATTCAGTTAACCTTAGTCGGTTCTGTTAAAAAAAAAATTCTATTAATAAAGTGACGCTTAAAATCATTCTGTATTTTTTTTAAATTTTAACAGATTGAAAATACTATTAAAAGTACAATTTGCTTCATAAATTTTTCTCGATAAACTAATACACTATACAATATATTTAACCTACGATTTTATGATTACAACATACTTTTACATTAAAAACAATAGTTTTATATAAATATATACGGTTTTTAAATATTTTATTATTGAGACACTATCGGTAAATTTACAGTACTTAAATTAATTATATAATTAATTAGTCAAAGTGTAAGAAATGGCACACCTTTCACTCTTTGGGGTAAGTTCGGAGTTTATTAGTAATTGTATAATTTATCAATGCACAACGTGTTTAATATTTAAAATACATTTTGAATATAAAGCATAATAGTGGATTTATTATAATTTTATTATGGAACATAAAAATGTTTAGCCATTTCAATATTCAATATTGACCCGCTAAAAACATTTATAAGTATAAATTGCAACGTTGTAATTTTGTAATGTGCGTATATATATATATATATATATGCATATGCATATGCATATACATTTTACATGTGTATATACATGTGCATATACATATACATATACATAATTAATATTGAGGGATACGATGTAATAAAAGTATGTTTGTATGTTTAAATACAACAACGTAAATTAAGTATATTTTAGTTAAATATCCGTAAAAAGGAATTACAAATTTTGTAGCAGCCATGTATGATTCACTTATATGAGCTTTTGACAACATTAAACACAAGATCTATTAATCGGTCTATATTTTTCGAAATGCCTGCTCAGGGTTCAGAAGACTCTTCCTTTGTGTGTGGTGTGAATTTCGCCATCTATGAACCAATACGCGTAATAAACTATTTATTTGCCTTTAAAGCTTAATGTAATAAAAATTGACTAATTATTAAGAACAAATTTACGTATTTATTGGGACGCTCGGTTTACAATATGACTAGAGTCACTGAATTGCTTATTTTATTGTAATATTTATAATTAAAAAATTATAATTAATAACGTTCTGATCTTTGCTGACAATGGCATTTCAACAAGGTATGCGACTTTTAAACTTTAAATATAATTTTAATATTTAATACATAACAGTACTTACATTTGTAATTTTTATTTTCATAGTATTTCTGATATTAGTCTCACTTAGCATTCCTATGAATTATTTTTCTTGATTTTTATTTAAATATCGGCGATAAAATATTCCATAATAACCAACATCCAAAAGCAAAAAGTAATATTTGTACTAATTTGTCCATCCAATAGAGTCTTCAAAATTAATTTTTATTATTACAAATGAATAGAAAATTTCGTGTGCATTATGATTTTATATTTACCTTCTCCACTTTACTTTACTAGCTTCAAGAGTTTTTATGTCATCCTTTAGTAAATATATTCTAACTCCTTTTACATAATCGTCAAGATATTGATTCCAATCAAAGTTGCCCATGGAAAATTTGAACATTAGTTTGTCTTGAGAATTCAGTCGTTGCCACAAATTTCGAACGTTATTATTTGTAAATACCCATTCGTTTGTGCAAAAGGGAGATATGACATAAGCAAATTTGTGCATCTTTTCATACATTTTTTTAAATCTAAAAATTTTAAAAACAAATTACACACAACATAACAATAGTAAAATTAAAATAATTTTAAAACAATTAATAATAACGCTATTGAATTACTATTCATATATTTGTAAGAATATTTATTCATTACTAAATTTGAATATTTTTCTTAATGTAAGGAAATATTACCTCGGCTTTTGTCCGCTGCCTACTGCAATTAAATCTAACAATGTCGCAGGAATCCAATGGAGAAAGAAAATACGTAAGCAATACATAAATTTATATTTCCTTAGTTTGCAAACCGAATACCATAAAGCACTTTTTGTCGGATACTTGTCTACATATTTTATTATATTTTGACCGAACTTGCCCCATTTAATCGGTGCTTCTACCGTTGACGTAAAATTGTAGATCAACATTTTTTCGTTTCTTCTACAATAAATAACAATTTTTATGAATAATAAGTATTATAATATAATTGCGTTTTTGAAGCTCATATGTTATCGTATATGCCATTACATTATTTTTCAATTAGTAATCGAAGAGTAAGTAATAATCAGGTTTCAGGTGTAATAAATCATTTTGTACGTAATTTGAATTTAGCTGTACTATAATACAAAATGTTTTATAATACGTTTCTTTGAATATTCGGCTTCAATTCTTTAAAGATTAAAAATACTTTTAAAAAGAAATCAATTCTTTGTAAACAGTAATTCGAAAGGAGAAATAAAAACATTTTTTCATTTCATTTATCCAAGAGTAATAATTTTATCCAAGAGTTTTTAAATGAATATTATTTTCTCGAATTTGGTGAATTATCGATTACTTTTCAAATTACTTTTCAAACTTGAGCCTTACATTAAAGCCATATTAACGTTAGCTAAGATAGAGTAATATTAGTTGTTGGGGGCGTACCTATCAACTTGAGCGGCAATATCCCAGGCGCTGGCAATTAGTGCATTGACCGTAAGATCTACCGGCACGATGTTTGCAATTTTTTCAGAATCACAATGTAATGCTCGCATCACTCCGCTGACTATTGCAGCTACGATTCCAGTAGGTCCGTAGTAATTGTCGATCCAACCAGGAATTGGTTCCTCTGCCGTAGAAATCACTGAAACACAATTTTGGCAATAGTTTCATCATTCATGGTGTAACGAAATTTGAAAAAGTTCAAAAACAGAACTGATGAATGTTGGTCCTCTTTAGGAAAAAATGTTTAACAAGTTTTCTTTTTTTTTTCTTTTTTTTTTCTTTTTTTTTTTTTTTTTTAATAGAAAATAGAAACTTGCTTATGTTAGGTACGCGATTCTTTCGTAAGCCATCTCCTTTTATAATTCTATCTCATGTTTTATGTTCATTGAATAGCAATAAATGAATAAATGTTGACTCGAAGGCATCGCACTTATCGGCATTGTAAATTTTAAATGAAACTTTTGCATAATATAATTAAAATGACCAAATTTGGAAAATTTTGAATAAACGAATAATCAAACCTTTATCGAGAAAAATTATCTCTGAATAAATGTCCAATTATTACACGAAATTCTTGGATATAGTTTTTATTCGATAATTATTTGACAATAAAAATTATGCAAAAAGGTATTATGTTAAAATTAAAGCAATTGCTTAATACCTTATTTCACAACTAAGAAAATCGGTTAATCACAAATTCTGTTTGGAAATAGCTTTATTTATTATTATTATTATTTAGATTCGAGTTGCTTGAAATGAAATACAACGAACCATTTCAATTTTTACATTGTATTTTAAATGTTTGAAAATTATTCTTTTGCATACATTTTCGTCGTTTAAATTCTTGATTGTTGAATAATGATTAATATTCATATTATAATTAATATTATAACACTAGGACCGTTTATTGAAAATGAAGAAGGAAAAGCAGTTATTAGAGACAGGTCTGTTTAAAATACTTAAAGCTATAATAATTAATTATTGTTCTGATTATTTGATTTCCTCGCGTACGTGCAATCCTTATTGAAAAGTTTTTCCATTGATGCCAGTAAAGAACTTTCGTTTATATCCTTGTCTATGGATGAGGCGTTAGCTTGATTCATTTGTACATTCGTATTGTTAATACTAAGCAGTGACGAAGTTTGCGTGCTTTGAGATATCAGATTCTCTTCATTTTGTATCTCCTCGGATAGGGCATCCGATAGCGACGTACTAATGTCCGAAATGTTCGTACACGACGTTACAAGAGACATCGTTGGTTGCCCTGACACCGGTATCAACGGCATCGGCGTTTCCAAGATGTTTTGAAAAGTTGTTCGTTGAGATATTGTGTACATTGTAGCAAATATTATCACGATAATTTCGTCTAAAAGCGTCAACAGATAAATAGTCAGTGTTGTCAGAAAGTTCCACGTCGTGCTCAAAGTTGCAGTTAGTAAGTACATAACTATTGCTAAGCACATAATATTAATAATAATAATAATAATATTTTTTTTCGTTTAAGATTATTTAATATGGAAATTTTGATAGGTTAGTCGAAAGTTTAAACCCCGTAGGTTAGGTATTAATCACTGCAACCTGAAGTTGGTTTCATTTTTATTGCCGACAATAAATTTAAAGAGAGTTTATACTCAACTCGAAATAAATGCGCGTTTTGAAAATTAACAGTTGTTATTTGAAATTTTCTACATCGGCCATGTCAGATTGTAGAAAAATTGATTATTATTTATATAACGTCGTCGTTCGTATACCAATAGGAATAGAAAATTCAAAAGTAAATTATCGTTGCATAAATTGCGACGACAATATTCGATAACAATTATTATACAATATACCACTGCTGAGCTTCCAATATCTAATATATTATTTACTTTTCAAAATGTTTACCCACAGATATTTATCATTCATTACATCCGTCTACACATATTCTATCGTAATAATTTGTGAATTTATGATGTCAATTTATGATATACTGTATGCGAAGAAGCGTTTATAAAAATACTTCTTTATAAAAATATACTTTTTATTGGTAATTAGAGCTATTACTTTACTTAAAAATTACAAATAATTAAATCGTAAACATCCTCGCGCAGTCTCATATCCTTATTAAAAAAGACATTGATTTATAATCCCCACGCTCATTGTCATTTTCATCACTACTATATTTGATTTATAATTTTCACTTAATAACGTAATATTTTCGTAACTCCATTTCTAGACTATTACTTTCTTGTTAATACATTGTATATATTTGTACATATGTATATCTAAATCCCAGTTGGTTTTATTTTAAATCCTGTTTTAGTACGTCTGTCAGGTAGGTGAATCGTCAACCATTAGATAGTCGAATCAATTCGCGTAGGAATGCATGCACGAAAGCTCCCTCGGCATATCCTGTAACAGCAGTAGCAGCAGCAACAGCAGCAGCAAAATACTTGACGGAAGAATAGCGTGAAAGGAGGCGAGTTGGAGCACATCGGAAATTGTCTCGTAATAAGCAGTTGGTGGTATAGGAGGCGCCTGAGCACCTGCTACCCTTTATACAAAATCACTTTCAGCTTACGTAGTCTCTTACGCAGGCTAAGGCGGAACGAACGGAGACGATACTAATTACGGCATTGATATTGTCCTAATGGTTGAGATGCCTAATATCTTGAGACATTATCTTCCAGACGCATTACAAATCGTTTAATATGTTCTTTTTAACGTTAATTAAGATTACAAATGCTTTATTAGATAATTAATTAGCTGGGGCAGAAAATTATTTTATATTTTAGCATGTATGTTACTATTTTCATAAAAGTAACATAAAATTATAGAATCCATTTTCAATTTAATATTAATAACATAAACTTGATTTTTACAGTAGAATTTTTTTAAATATCTGATAAAATAAAAATAGTATCTATGATAGACTCTGTGTTTTTATGAAGCGTAGATTAATTTTGTGGTTTTTAAAAAGAAAAATTTGTAATTTCTGTGTATATAAAAAGTTTTATGTCTCAATTTACAATTTCTTCTTTTCATTAATGCAGAATAATCTTAATTGTTGTTTGTGTAGCTTTCATTGTAAAACAACTCAATGTATATCGATAAGATATATGTGAAATAATAGTAAAGATATTAAAATAAAAAAAAAGAAAAAAAGATAAAATTTATGTCAGAAATCATTCAATTAATTATGATTTGATAATAAACAAACTTACCAATTCCCGGTCTGAAAATACCTATAGGTAAATCTTTACTTTTTGTCCTGATCAAATCTTCCGCCAGTGCTTTAGTAAATGTATAGGTGTTTGGCCAGGAGGTCATCAAACTAAATTATTATAAATATTTCGATCAATATCAAATGATATCATAAATACTAATATTTTTTTACTAATAATAGCAGCGTTGATAATTTATATTATTTTAAATTAGTGACGAAGTAAAGGGTATCTTTAAATTTCTTTACTCTACAATCAACTACTACTATAATAATTAAAATAAAATTCTATCTAAAATAATTTATGTCATTATTATTTTTACTGAAAATGTCAAAATACTAATTATTGTAGATTTTTAATATATCACATGTTGCCAGTGTAATTAAAGGAGTACTGTAATTATTCTAACAGCTTACAATTTAATTTATGAACACACCGACAACATATAAGCTCGTATAAAAAGTAATATATTTACAAAAATAATTTATTTACAGAAAAATTAGATTACTTTTAGTATTTTACTTGGTTAACTATAAATAATGATAAGATGTGTCTCTCCATACATACCTACTTAAGTTCATTCAAACGAATTTAATAAAATAAATATGCAACTATTTTTAATTAATAATTTTAATTGACAATTAGTAACGATTAAAATAAAAAAAAATAATTGAACGAAAATTGTTAAAAAAAAAAATTATTAAAAATGAAATGGTATAAATCTATATGATCATCAGTTTTTTAAGAGAAGCATGTTAATTATATTATTCATTAATTTGTTAATATACGTAAATAAATAAATCTTTAATACATTTTTGAAATATTTAATTCCATACTAAAAGACAATTAACGTCGTCGTAAATTGTATTTACTATCGAGAGTATTGGATATATTATTGCAATAAAAAGAATATTGAACAATATTGAATATAGTGCAATTAGTGTTACAGGACCAACCCGAACAGGATGGATAAATTTAATTACATTTCTACTGAAGGACTAATATAAACGGTTAATTTGATACCGAACTCTTAATTATAAACTGTGATCTATGCATATTTTCTATGAAACTTCATATTATTTTGTTTAAAAAACATGATAGTAATTTATAGTATAATTGACTTTTTCAAATTATAGTAGAATTATATTTTCAAAATTAAATTTCTAACATTTAGTAACGTAATTATTGTAAACTTTATCAGATGTTTTAACACCTTCATTTTTAATGAAAGTATGATGGAATTTAGTAATTATTTTACATGAGAGTAGACTAAGATTCAAATATATAAAATGCAAAATCACAGAGAATAGAGGCAACAATCTGTAAAATGTAAATTTATCTTTAAAAAATATATACGTAAAAAGCAGATTCGAGGGGTACGATCTATTAACAGGTGATTCGATAAATTTTTATTAATGTATCAAAATTTATATTTATACTATAATTTGAAAATTTTAACAACAGAAGAAATATCACTTTTTGTTTAAAAACTTACTGCGGCGAAATTTTATACATAACATCCTTTGACAATAATTTTACAAGATCAAGGAATTCTTGACATTTTATTGAATAATCGTAAAATTTTTCTTCAATATTTGGGGAGAAACAATTTGCATAAGCTGTTGATACATGAACAAACGACTGTGAAAAAATAAAAATATTCATAACTAATAATATAAAGTAACTCACAATAAATTATAAGAAATAATGTTACTAGATCGTAGACATAATATAAATATATTAAGTCGATAATTGCAGAATAAGAAATAAGTTTTAAAATGACAAAAAATTAAAAAAAATTGATTCTATCAAATTAAGTACCTTTAATTTTGGCATTCTTTGACAAAGATCATTAATGCTATAAGTACTTTGGATGTTAATAGCCGTAGCTTCTATTATTTCCTCATCAAAACGTACAGTAGCGGCAGCATGAAAAACTATTGTAACCTAAAATGATTAAAAAAAAAAAAAAATGCAAAATATAGTTATTTTTAATACAGAATTTAATATAATAAACTCGATAAAATTGATGTAATAAATTATTCTTTATACACTTATTATTATATCTTTTTTTTGTCGATCTTTATTATGTAGAAAATTTATTGATTTAGAATAATAAATTAATCATTGCATAATTAAATTTTGCTATGGCTGTGACAAACATAATTATAATTAAATCTTATAATTAATTATAAAGGAGTGTTAATTTTTTAATAAACTAATCATATAAAATAGTTTCAATTTCATTAAATACTTAGAATGTATATGATTGCATAAGACTTGGCATTTTTAGGATAAAGAATTTAAGTAATATTTATGTAAGATAAGGCTCTTAATAACATAATTAATAAGAAAAAATTTTATTTGTTCAACATTTTCTAACTTTTTTTCTGTACTGTTTTTATTATTTTAATAATAATTCAAATAAAAATATAGTTTCTCGATTAGCATTGAATGATATTCATTTGTAATACTTACTTCATCAATGAGTCGTTGAGTGTCTTCAGTAGACAGACCTAAACCTGGAAGAGAACAATCCCCAGGTATGCCTATAATTTTATTACTAAATTCTGGCATTTTTTCTCGTAACCGATCAAAAATCTAGAAATATTTACAAACAAATTCATACATACAAACTCCAGTTTAATAATCAAAATTCTCTACAGCCTGTTTATTTATTTAATGATATTAATAAATACGAATATATATTTTTCCTTCTAATTATACTCACTCGATTATGAAAAAGTTCGTCTATCCGATCGGTAATATTTTTATTTTTTTTTGAACGCACAAGCAGATAAAGCCGTGAAATATCTGGGCAACATCGCAAAAGTTTTTCGATCAAAATTTTTCCGAGAAATCCAGTTCCACCTGCAAGCGTATTAAACAAAATATTCAAGTTGTTCCGAATACATTTGATAGTAACTTATATGATCATTGGTAATAAAATTATGTTTAAATAGTTTTATGATATCTATTAGTTAAAAAAATAATATAATTTGCATAGAACTTTCATAGAAATTATGAAGAGAGAATACATTTTTTCAAATGTCTATCAAATTACCACGTATATAGATGTATAGATGTACATTTATTTAAATAATATAAAGAAAAAATACGGAATATTTTATATTAAAATTGTAAGTATCAAAAGCAATATACCTGTTATAAAAATGCACTCGTTACTATAAAATTCTTGAAGAGTCGTTCTTGTAATGTTAACATCACACTCCTTGCAGGTTTCAACGAAATTATTATTAATTTCATTTAATTTTTTACTTTCATCGTCAGTGGTCTTTTAAAAATAATTATCATTTAATGCTTATTTCTTAAAAATAATTTTAATATTAATTTTATACAAGTTACTACTCACTTCCTTTACGCCATCAATTTCTTGGCCCATACTGATGATTAATTTTATATATTTTGAAAATAATAATTTTTCTTATAAATACTTTGATCAATTTATCATTATACTGTTTACAGTGTTTATGATTGCACCATAAATTACTTTATAACGTATTTTATAACAGATATTTTAAGAAATGTTACAATCTAAAATTAATACTTTTGTGATGCTATGAATTTAAATATCCAAGTTTATTTCATGTTTTCTTCTTAAAATTCTTGTTGTTCCAACTGTACAGACGATCTTCAACAAACAGAATGCAAATTTATTGGAGATAAAATAATAATTTCAATCTATTTGGTAGTAAAAATTTATTATTTTTTTATTTAACTATTAAAATACTAAATTTTGTATTATTAAAAGATACAAATCGTATTTACACAGGCACACGCACTTGCAATTGGCTTCCAATTAAATAATAATCCGAAGATTCAACAGAATTTTAAATTAAAGAAAAAAAATTAAAGCATTTAATTGATTTTAATTATATTATTTTCTTCAAATATATATATATATATATATATAAATTTTATGTTTTTTTAAAGCATCATTCAGAAATTAAACTAACCCTACTTCAATGTGTAATAGTTTATGTGTAATATTTTGACACTTTTTATTAATGCTCTTATTAGCTTCGAGATAAACAAATATTTTAACACCACACGTTATATATCTATATGCATAGAATGGCACACAACTACCTCAAGATCGAGATTTTTGGAACATTCGCGTACGGCTCGGGCACTAATGTGAGCACATTTCGTTGACAACAGACCTTATATCTTCTTCACGATACTTTAAGTCTTTCTTTGTGCGCATCAAAAGCGCACGTGCCAGTCTGCTTACTCTATCTTTATCTATTATTTAGCAGGGATGAAGTATTACATAAATTAAAGATAGTTATAGATCAATTTCGATAGTCATACAATTATCCTAGTTACTATCGTTTGTTTGGGAAGCAATTCTTTTTGAGAAACGTCTGCTTTCTAATTGTAAGGTAGTTCATTCTAAATGTTTATAATGCAGATAATTGCCTTTAACTATATAATTGAATATGCTGGTTTTGATTGTAAATATTGTCTCTAAAAAATAATTTTAAAACATTAAATAAACGAATTGATTATCCAAGTCATAGTTATAATACTTATAGACCCGTCAAGTTAATTTTTTTTTGTTTTTTTAAACACTTAGACAAAATAATTTAACATGCGGCTCAAGTATTTTAAAAGCAAAACATTCGATGCAAATTAATTTATTGAAAAACTTCAACTGCGACTGGTCTAAAGTTTTCATTAATCAATATACGTATAGTATTATGCGCTTTTAATGATATAGATTAAAATAAGTAATAAATTCATAGACAAAATCACAATGTATTTAAGTAATTTGCATTTCTAATTTAATTTTCAATTGAATTATATATTTATTATATTTCAGCCCAGTGTATTGAATTTTATAATCAGTGTAAGAATAGACATGAATTTCTCATTTTATATCAGAAAATGATGTTTAAACGGTATCGAATAGATTAATATAAAATAATAATACTGTGCATAGATTATAGTTTAAGATAGGTATATTATCAGAGAATAGTCCTTAAACACATAATCTATGCATAGTATTATGTTACTTTTTATTTACGGTCCAAAAGAAAAAAAAGAAAAACAAATTGCAAAAAAAAGAACATTATAAGTTGAATATTGTTTATTTAAATGTCAATTTAAACTACATGTACTATTAAAAAATTCGTAAAAATAATCTAAGAGTGTTATTTTTATGTATATATCTATATGTATATTTTTTCTAATACTATTTTAAAAAATTTTATTTGTATAGTATATAGTTTTACGTGAATACCATTACATATCTTGCACTTAATCAAAAGATATCTCAGGTATGAAATAATTTTTTAAATTGACTCAAGTATCCAAGTAAAAATTTATAGATAAAATGGCTTCAATTCGAAGTAGATTTGATTATATTAACTACTATTGACAATATGTACATTTTTTTTTTAGAAATTCTAAGTACAATTAAGAGTGCCGAAACCACAGAATTTCCATTAAAAAATTACCAAGTAATATTAAGATAATCTTAAATTTTTTTTTACAAAAAAACACACATTTTATAAATTGATGTGTTTTTTATTTTTACTTATTTACTTTTACGTATTTATTCGAATATATTATCCTTACACTCTATTACAAACAATAGAATTATAGCTACGATGTAATTATATTTATAATTATTTATTTAAAATAAAAATGTATTTGTCGAAAATATAAAACGAATATAAATATCATTGGAATGATGATGAATAAAACTGAATAAAATAATTTGTAATAATATAACTTTCAGCAGCTTATGATTACGTTTGATAACTTAATAGTAAATATGAATTTTTTGATAAACAATTCTGAATTTTTACGTTCGTTCTTATAAAATTCAAAGCCTAATCATCATCGATTATTATAAATATTATGATTCGTATTAGTATCTTTAATATGACTATATCTATTCAATTTGTTTCTAAGTAATGTAAAATGTTACCATTCTACTAGCAATATAAAAGCTATTCTATTGTATAAAATTTGAAATAATCTCAAGTTTTAATTAAAGCATATTCAATAATATATTATTATTATTATTATAAATGCATAATCTACACTCGATAAATAGATTTAGATATTAATATGAGAATTTAAGTTTTATAAATTCGATATCCATTAATATCGTATACTACGAGTATAATTTTGGTAAAAGCCATTTTAAAATCTAATTAAATAATATAAGTTAATCGTAGAAATGCTGTCAATCTATTAAAGACAATATTGATAAATTACAACATTTATTTACTAATAATGTTCATCCCGCCATTTATCCTGTATAGCATGAAAAGAATATATAGTCAAATATATATATTAAAATATATTCGAATGAAATCCCAATCGGTTTATAAATAATTGAATTATAATGAATATTAACAAGTAAAGGAAAATTTACTTGGAATTCAATATCATAGATAGACTATTTGTATTATAAATTAATATGAGTCAACTATTTGAAATTTCGGAGTAGTCGATTTCTTAGTTTCATTCTCAAAGGCAAAATCCGCAAAGCCAACAAATAAGAATGAATCTTCAAATGGAATTGGTTTTCCAAACTTCTGTGGTTGTCAGCCCTATTTGGATTTAAAAAGGTTTTAGTAAGCAGCTTGTACCTGCGTAAAATGTTACTACTTTGCAGACTTTTATTCTAGCTAAGTAGATACAGCGTAACTGGTTTGGGTCTTTCTTACCTTTGTGATATCTGATCGTTGTCCCATTTGTATTGTTCAGTTTCCAGAAGAGTTCGGCTTATATAATATTCAAATTGAATAATTTTTTATCCCTTAAGTAATGGTCACACGTCTGTCCGAACATCTCAATTCCAATATTGATGAAATTGTAAGATAAAAAACACAATCAGGCTTACCAACATTCTTCGCTTTTGTAATGTCGATTGACTCTTCACGGGAGTTTGAATGAGGTGTTTTGCGAGGGCTTATACTCTAATAATAACGTGCTTCAACATAAATTTACAATATAACTCTGTAAGAGATTTTTTTTTTACTCTTGTATATTTATGATACATGTACGAAATCAAATTTGATGAGAACTTAACGTGTATCCAAAAATCTTACTAAGATCGTAAAATGTAGTTTTTGACATATATGCGCGAATATTGTTTATAACGATAGCTTTTCATTCGGATTTTCAACATAATATTGAAAGAAAGTCTTTTGAATTATCATTTCATATAATATAAACTATAACTTGTTTTGACTGTAATTCATTTTAAATGACTTATTTTATAAAACAATATGATTAGGATTTATATATTACAGTTCCATTTCATTGTTAACGATAACAAGAATGGGAATGCAAATAATTTTAATTGATTGATAATAATCTATGTAGAATAAAAACATAATGATCTGGAACTTAATATGACCTATATTTCCTTATTTATATTACAAGTGATTTATCAGCAACTTATTGATAAGCTGTTATTTTATAATATTTTATCCTTTCTATAATATAATTTAAGGCTTTAATTTTTATTATTTGTATTAATATAGTTTGTAGGCAACATACATTTGTTTCATGCCATAATAATTGTCCTTTAAAAAGAAATTCCGACACCAAATACCAACTCAATTACGTTTAATTCTTTAAAATTTCATCTACTCTATCTATACAATAAGATTAGTCGACAGCAGTGTAAAAAAATTAAAATTATCCATTTATATTATTTATTATATATGTTATTTAATAATTATTATAATTTATTAAGACGTTTTTTAATATACGTATTTTTAAAAATTTTTCAGTAAATAATATGTTCATTAACAATTAATGCGAGGTTAATTAGTAAATTCTTCTATGCGTGTAGAGTGATGTTAAGTTACAAAAAATAATTAAACACGGTAAACTTTTTTTAATAACAGTTTTATATTTCGACCATTTGTGGATTACTTTTAATTGAAAAATTTATTTTCTAAATACAATTCATGAGTATTAGATATTCTAATTTTTGAAAAATATTTTATATAAAATTTCCATAATTTTCAGAAACACATTTTGTAACCGCAAATACATATATACCTATTTAGGTATGAAATGAAAATAAAAAATTGGCTAAATGTATATTGAAAAAAGGGATAAAATTCATTCTTATTACCAAAAGGTATGTTCTTCTTAAACAAAAGAATTAAAAACAATAAAATGGCCATATACGCTTCTTTTATTACATAATATTTTAATAAAATTAATTCTGTATTCAATCGATTAATTATTATGAATAATATAAATTTCTTTGGTATTAAATTATTGATTATTAAAAATTAATTTGAATAAAATTTAAATAAATGCATTATAACTATAGGTAACAAGTTCGAATTTTTGGCGAGAAATATATGTATTCTTAGAATGATCGAATGAGCTTGATTGTGTGTATATATATATATATATATATATACATATATATATATTTATATTCATAAAAAATAATTAGTATAATTTCAATTATCATTTGAAATTTTCATAATC